AGGCACACTCGCACCTCCGATTAGCACGGCTGGCTACGTATGGTGCGAAAGAAGTTCAACATTCATACATTCGCTCCAGTGGCATCGCTGCGGCACCATTGTATTGAGAGTGTAGCTGACACTGCTAAGATCTTGGGTTGAACAAAAAAATAGGGACATTTGGCATTCGTGCCCTCATCAGAAGATGTATTTATACTGGAGGAGTCCCATGAGCTAAAAAACTCTTTTTCACAGATGCTCAGCAGTTCACGGATGTCAAGTAGACATCTGCGCAAAGGCTATCATCACAGTACAAAGGCTACCATCGTGAAGGGAGGCGATACGGTTCTGCTTTGCAAGCTTTACTATCTCGAGTCGACTCGTGTAGACAGCGCCGTCCACAGCGGGAGTGATTCGAGGCCTGGGGTAAATCCAAACGTGAGGGCCCCTCCCGACGCCTTCGAACTAAAAAGGTAGTCAGTTTAACACCTAGCAGTAGGGTGTTCGCGGCCAATATTATCCATGATAGAGGTTTTTAGGTGAGATGCCTTGATTATAAATAATCACCTGCGAAATGTCGCAGTACTCAAATTGTCAATTCTGTGGGTTTACTCTCCCAACACACCGGTGTGCTGAAGTAGTGACGACTTGGCACGTTGTGTTTACATGGAAACCCTTACGAATTGGCTGTGTTGTGTGTGGCGGGTTAACGACACATTGAAGTGCCAGGCCGTCCCCCCCCCCAAAGCACGGGGCCCAGGGCGGTCGCCCCGATTCGCTGTACCCCTCTAGAACCGGTTGAGAGTCAGGGAGGAAATTGCGAACGGTGACCGGGTTTCCGCAACCATGACTTAAACCACCGTGATTTAAGGTCGCCACGGTGGTGAGATGTTAACCACCTCGCCTGGTATGCAGAAGGTTGCAGGTTCGATCCCAACCCTGACACCTGTATATTTGGAGTTTGTGTGTCTCTTTCCCCATGGTCGCATGGATTCTTCTCCGGGTTCTCTGGTTTTTTTTCGCTCTACGTTTATAAGCAAGGTCACGCATTTCTAGTATTTGGCTGCTATCAATTTCCACTTGATAAGCCACTTCGTTGAGCTATCATTTGTCGTAGTCAGGTCGCTTCTGAAAAAGAGCCATGTAGCTCAGTGGGCCTTACGTGATAAAATAAATAAAAAAAATTCTTATAGTTTATAGTTTAAATAAGAGCTGTGTGATTTTGTTTTTGGGTCACGTCTTCTACTGAGAATTGCATGCAGCGTCCGGCCCCCGATGCCCCCCCCCCCCGCCCCACATTAAATAAGGGATCACCACAGCAGAAGTGTAATGAGGTCACGCCGTGTGGCTTTCTTATTAAAAGTTGATGTAATTTGACCTCAAAAGGTGAATTCAGTTCAAGCGCCCCTTTGCTCATCATCCACTTAAGCCAAAAACAACAACAACAACAAAAACTCCATGTACTCCAACAGGACCACAGATGGCATTAAAACGTGGACAAAGCCAACGCAAAATTGATTTTGTTTAAATCTTCGACTTGGTATTGCTGGGCTCAATTCGTGTTGAGCGAGGATAACGCTTGCGCAGCTGCGCTGCATGGCTCCCGCCTGCGGCGTCCTAAGACCTTCTCCGATGTGAACTCAAATTCTATCCCCTGTGGGGGAAGCCTCCCCCGAGCACCGGGAGCGAAACGTCGGATATTGTAGCGGATCAAACGCGCGCCACTGAACCTGGCAACAGGCCGCCAGAGAGCCGTGCAGGGGCTCGGCCCCCTCACCCCAACCAACAACAGGCCCTGTCTTGTCTGACCGCAGTACTATACATATTTATAATTACGAATTTCATCATCATCGTCATCACGATCCATGGGCAGATGGCCCCGTGAGTGTCCACTGCAGATTTCGTCGTTTGTTTTCCCCACTTTCCTCTCTGTCTTGTAGTGCCAATACTCCTCAAGTGGTGCCACATCTCTCCGTCACCAATCTTTTCTGTCATCGTCAAGCCATTCTCTGTTACGTCTTCCTCCGGTTCCTTCAATTTTCCCGAACACCACACTTTGAATTCTCCCGTTGTTGTTCATGCTACACGCGTGTGTCCATACAGTGCCAGTTTCCTTCTCATCATCACTGCCTGCATCACCGTCAGGTTGTCCTCTTCTTTGCGCAACCGTTTTTCCTACTTCTACGTTGGTCACTCTTTGGGTCAAGCTTTCAACGATGCCTGAAAGCTTCAACAACGTGGTGACGACACAAGTGTCAAAAATCGTGCATATGAAGAAAAAATAAAAACGTGTTCACCATTTATACACTCGATTTACCTCCACGTTACGGCGAGGCCGATGGAACAGATGAAACTGCGAAAGAGGCAACAAAAGTAAACCATCTACAAACGATACACAAACGAGATGGTAACAGACCGGTCTCATCGCTCCATTTCCACAGCGGTGGTCCTGTCCAGGCGCGTTGTCCCCATTTCCATCTGGCAGCCAATTCGCCGCACACTTCCCGTGGCTCGGGTCACCGTCCCTCCTAGCGACGCGTCTTCGGCGCAAGCCAACTGACTTTCTCCTCGACACGAGCTTGACCTATTAAACTGAGCCGTTTTTTGTAGTTATTTTCCCAGGGCAGGCCCACTGAGCTACGTAGCACTTATTGTTTTTTAGAGACGACCTGGCCGTCACAAATGAAAGATCAACGAAGTGGCTTATTGCGTGGCAATCTAAAGCAGTGGCCAAATATTCTGCGCGCATGATGTTGGTTCTTAATGCGGAGGGTAAAAAAACAACGCAGGAGGACCCGGAGAAAAAAACCCCACGCGAACACGGGGAGAATGTGCAGCCTTTCACTCGCCTTTCTTGTTCTCCGACCTCCGCCGTCTCTCGGTGGTCATTTCACGTCCGAGGATTTTCCCTCCGCACACTTTTCAGCCCCCGTTTCAATCTCCTGCGGCGGCTGCGGCGGCGGCGCGCTCAGTCCGCAAGCCATCGATCCGTAAATCATTGCCAAGCAGCTGCATATTCGTGAATTGGCGCCGCATCGCTAAGCACGCAGTGCAATTGCCCAGCAATGCGTTTGATTTATCGCGGCGTTTTTTTTGTGTTATGTTCGTTTGTAACTGCGTGGCTGCAGTCGTTACTACGGCGGCCGCGTAGCCGTAAGTTGTAAGCGAAAAATATCGAGGCGACCTTTTCAAACACGCATACCCAGCGGTCTGATTAAGCGCGCCACTTTGGCACTGAACGTAACACAAATACGATGCCGTTTTCTGAACAGGTTGCACACACACACGCGCGCGCACACTGCAACATGAATTTCGATCGCCACAAAAGAACAATGATCAAAAGCTGAATATGTATTTATACTGGAATAATTAGAGCTATAAAGCCCTTTTTCACGGGTGTCAAGTCGGGCCAAGTCAGAACGTTCCACCAACTAACAATAAAAAAACACGATAGGAGTGTAAGTTATAGGCAAGGTAAACGAATCACTGAAAAAATAGACACATAAAACGAAACGTGTTTTGTTTCATACCAGGCAAGGCCCACTGAACCATGAGCTTATTTTTCAGAAGCGAGCTGGCCACAAATGATAGCTCAACGAAGTGGATTATCATGTGGAAATCCACAGCAGCAAAATTATCTAAATAATCATCGTCGTCCACCTTGAACAATCCACTGCTGGTTGAAGTTCTCCACAAGCTATCAGCAATGTGGCACAATAATGCGATTTATCTATCCAGGAAAGCATCGCTGGGTCTCAAAACTCATTTTTAAGAGGGTCCTGCTACATCGGGATGTTTGGCCAGTTGGATTAACGAGCGTTTTGTGATCGGGACTTGTAAGATAGAAGTCAAAATATTTTCGCTACGAGAAAAAAAACTAGAAAAAAGCGTAAGGCTTACAAGGGATTGTGGGATTACAACGTCAATCATGCAGGATCAGCAAGCGACCTCGCAACGTGTAACGATGGGACCATGAGACAATATTTGCGGCAGCAAGGTTTTTTGGTGATCGGCACAGGGTACATTTTTCATTATTGCTGGGGCGTTGTGGTGGCGAAATGTTAACTGCCTCGCCTGGTGTGCAGGAGGCCGTGGGTAAGATCTATACCCTGACCCCTGCTGTATAGTTGGAGTTTGCGGTGCCTCTCTCCCCGTGGTCTCGTGGATTTTTCTCCGGGTCCTCCGGGTTTTCCCTCCACATTTAGAGATATTTGTTTAGAGTATTTGACTTCTATACATTTCAACGTGATAAGCCACTTTGTTGAGCCATCATTTGTGGCCAGATCGCCTCTGGAAAATAACAGTATAGATCTGAGGGCTTTACCTGATAAAATAAAAATAGTTTTTAAGAACAAAAACTCGCATTATGTTATGCCGATGATGCCTAACAAGGGTGAAACCTCTTAAGCAAAAAAACTTAAAACCGTAATTCTATTTGGATTGCACCTCGCGATGGGATGTGGAGATCTCAAGGGTAACGGGGAGAGCTGGGGGAAAGTGCCCTCCCAACAGCCTCGAAGTATGGACTGCAGGATGAGGGCGTTGCCACACTCGTGTTTGGCCATACTTCACCACGTCAGTCAGTGCGGGCTGGGGCTGGTGAAGGCAGGGGGCATAGAAGCACAGTACAACGAACTTCTCTCCACTGGTGGGCACCGATCCAAGCACTATCCAAGCTGAAGCCTGCTTACCTTTCAGGATCTAACGAGTTCGGTTGCATTTTGTGTGATTTCGTCTCATGATCTTACAGAGCCATTCAATGATGATAACAGGAAGCGATTGCCTTTGGAATCGCGCAACGCTTTTCAGGAGCCGTGCCCTTTCGTGCGTGTGACGGGAACGTGACCTGCAACGGAACGCACTCAACATCCGCGCGTCTCTGTGTGTGCTGCGTGTGTGCTGCGTGCTGCGTGCGTGTGTGCTGCGTGCGTGCTGCGTGCGTGTGTGCTGCGTGCGTGTGTGCTGCGTGCGTGCTGCGTGCGTGTGTGCTGCGTGCGCGCTGCGTGCGTGCGATTGACCAGGGCGGGCGAGATGGCGTCTGACATGCGTCAGGAGCCGGTGCCCGTCCCAGCGACCTCGGAGCTGTCAAACTGCCAGGACCCCACCGCCCGCGCGCTCGCCACGAAGATCCCCGATCCCAGCCAGCCCGACGCGGTCAAATCGCCCGCCCACCGCGAACACCTCCACGCCGTGGCCACCGCCAACTCTTCAACCTCCTCCTCCTCCTCGTCGTCCTCCTCCTCCTCCACCTCGTCCTCCTCGTCCTCCTCGTGCGTGACGGCTTCTCCGACGTCCCCGTCGTCCAACTCGTCGGGATCGTGTGCGCAACGGGCGCCAGCGCAGGACCAGGCGAGGCAGCGAGGGGCAGCCGGGGAGATGGCGACCCCGGCGAGGGAGGTGGTCGCGGAGGTCAGCGAGGTCAGCGAGGAGGTCAGTGAGGAGGTCGAGGAGGTCGTGGGGGCGGGAGCGGCGTGCCAAGGGCAGAGGAAAAGCGCCGCCGAGCAGCCGCCCCGCTGCCACTCCGCGGCCAAAAACGGCTGCCTCGACTCCCCCTCGTTCTCCTCCTCTTCGACGGAGCCGTCGCATCCGAGGGTCGGGCAGGTCCGGGCGGCGGAGGTGGTCGCCGCGGAGGTTCGCGGCGACGCAGCCGGGGAGTCGAGCCGAGGCGCCGAGGTGAGCGCGGCGCGAGCCGCCGGCGTCCCCTCGGCGGCCCCGGCACCGCGCGGCCTCCCCCAGGACGGGCACGGCTGCCGGCCCAAGCGAGAGGCCTCGGGCCACGCGGAGGCGAGGGTGCTCGAGGCGGGATCACGCAACGAGCACGGCGAGTTGCGGTCGAATCGCCCTGAGCAGCAGGCACAGCAGCAACTGATGCTTGAGCAGCAGCAGCAGCCAGAGCATCAGCCACAGCAGCAGACACGGCAACAACAACAACGACAGCCGCAGCAGAATCAGCAGCAGCAAAAACTCCAGCTTCAGCCGCAGCAGCAAAATCAGCTTCAGCAGCAGCATCAGCAAAAGCTTGAGGAGTGCGCATCGAAGAGCAGGGAGGTCGGCACCATGACGTCCCCGTGCCACACGCAGCAGCAGCAGCAGAAGCGCGACGCCGAGACGCAGGCGACGCAAGCGGCCCCCAGCCGCCGCTCCGTGGCCACGAGCCCCAGGACCCCCCCCTCGGGGACCTCCCCGGTTCACGTCTACCCGGAGGTGAACCTGGGGGGTGGCGGCGGCGGGAAGAAGGGCACCAAGGCGACGAGGGCGAGCAAGAAGTCGAGCGGCTCGGGCAACCGGGCCCGCAGCCCGACGGCGTCGGCGGCGGTGGGTGACGAGGAGGAGGGCGGCTCGGGCGACGAGGAGGAGGACAAGTCGCCGGTGCGCGAGGTGCGCTGGGACGACAAGGGCATGACGTGGGAGGTGTACGGAGCCTCCATGGACGTCGAGGTGCTGGGGCTCGCCATACAGAAGCACCTGGAGCAGCAGATCGAGCAGCACTCGCGAGAGCGCAGCACGCGCAGCGACAGCACCGTGGCCGCCACGCAGCAGCTGCCCCAGGAGCAGCAGCAGCTGGCACAACCGCCCGAGCAGCAGCAGCAGCAGGCGCCACCGCCTCCGCTGCAGAAGCAGCAGCAGCTGCGGCAGGCGTCGCAGGCGCAGCTGCAACCGCTGCCCCTGCAGTCGCAGCAGCAGCAGCAACAGCAGCAGCAGCAACAGCAGCAGCAGCAGCCACAGCCGCCCGGGGTGGAGGAAGCGAAAGGTCGAGCCAAGAGGTCGAGACACTCCGCGGTGCTGCGGACCGTGCTGCAGAACGTGCGCCAGCCGCGGTGCTGCACGCGCGCCAACTCCATCGCGGACTGAGCGCACCCAACCCCAGCGCTGCACATCCACCACGGCCACCTCTACCACGGCCACCTCTACCACGGCCACATCCACCACGGCCACCTCCACCACGGCCACCACCGCCACCTCCATTGCCACCACCACCACCACCACCTCCATTGCCACCACTACCACCACCACCGCCACCATCGCCACCTCCACCACCGCCACCACCACCACCGCCACCCCCGCCACCTCCACCACGGCCACCTCCACCACGGCCACCTCCACCACGGCCACCTCCACCACCACCACCTCCACCACGGCCACCACCACCACTTCCACAATGGCCACCTCCACCACCGCCACCACGGCCACCTCCACCACCTCCACCACGGCCACCACGGCCACCTCCACCACCACCACTTCCACAATGGCACCTCCACCACCGTCACCACGGCCACCTCCACCACCTCCACCACAGCCACTACCTCCACCACGGCCACCTCCATCACCTCCACCATGGCCACCACCACCTCCACCATGGCCACTTCCACCATGGCCACCTCCACCACCACCACCTCCACCACGGCCACCACCGCCATTTCCACCACAGTCACCTCCACCATCGCCACCTCCACCACGACCACCTCCACCACGGCCACCTCCACCACGGCCACCTCCACCACCGCCACCTCCACCACGGCCACCTCCACCACCGCCACCACGGCTACCTCCACCACCACCACGGCCACTGCCACCACCGCCACCACCGCCACCTCCAGCGCCGAGACGAGGCGCTGGTAGAACATGGGGGCACGACAAAGCGTCGTGCCAGCCAAACAAACGCTCGCCCACAACCCTCTTGCCGCCGAGCCGTGCACTAAGTTCTACGCCTCTCTCGCTGACAACTCGCCGCTATCGCTTCAGCCCACCCGGTCACGGGCGCCAAATCCCCCGCCTCTCCGAAAGCCCCCACCAACGCGCCGATCAGCCACAAGTTCTGGACCTCGCTTTGACCCCGACAGTGACCCTGACCCTGACCGACCAGCCAAACCGGGACACCTGGTGCCAGCCCTGCCGCTGTGAGTCCTGAAGAGACCTCCAGTGATTTGCCTGGGCACCCAATTCACGTCGTGTTGTCTGTCCGACTCGGGGTTCACAGCCCTGCTCGTTTACCGAATGCTTTTGTCGGGATGACGAATCGCGTTGAGCTATGGTGCGTCACTGGCCGAAACATTCGCGTGTTTAAATTGAAATAAGCAAATACGTTCTGCTTAGAATTCAGTGCCATGCGGTCGTCCATTTGCTGTCGTGGGTTTCACTCATCACTCACGCCAACCCTTGCTGTTGATAATTGAACCATTGTCAGATCTGACTTCCATCAGCGCTCTCGCCTGATCATTCAGTGACATCAGCAGCATCTCCCCTCCGCTGGGTCCGATACAATACAAGACGGAACCCCCACGTCTCTCTAACGCAACCACCTCAACATCACACGGCCCCTCCCTCGGAGCGATGGCAACTTGTCAGGATGAGACTCGATGGAAGCCCTCAAACATCTTGAGAAAATCGCAGACGATGGGACTCATGAGAGGTTCCGTTTGGTGGGAGCCGACAGATCTAGAGTGGCAGGCGTGGCTCGTTGAGTCCGCGTGGATGTCGTGGAGGAGAGAGCACGCGCGACCCATCAATCGTGGAGGTTGATCACACACTCCGCCAAGCGCAATGTTTAGAAAACACAGACGCAGCAGCCCGTTGGCTGTGCCGCAGCTGTGGTGCACGCGCCACTCGAGCGTCGCGGCACCAAACGCAGCGATCTGTGCCGCCGAATGTTCTTCTGCGCGTGACGACGGATTCGCCCATCAGAGTCGATTCCTGCGCTCACGATGCACGCACCGAGTTGTGTGTGTGCGCGTGTGCCGAGGAGCGACGAATTACAACGGATGCAAATGACGTAAAGGCCACCCGCTATTGATGGGCAGGAGGAGAGGCGAGCAGCGGTGGGTAGCCGAGCGCGCACGCCAACCAAGCGCCCCAGCCCGAGTCTTCAAACCGATTGGTCAAGCAGCCACCCGCCGGCACGAGCGCCCCACGCCGAACTCGTCACCGACTCGCCGGACACAGCCCCAAGAGCCACGCCTGCTGCAGAGCTTTCGCCGCCCGGGTTGCCTTCTCATGTTGGTGTTGTTGCTGTTGTTCACTTCTCATTGTCGGTGTCCACAATTCGGTGTGTGCGTAGCGCTGATTTTAACAAGAAAAATACACGCGTATAGATGCCACTGTTTCAAACAAACAAACAAAAGTCCGCCGGCAGCGAGAGTCTGGTGTGTGTCTGCGGGGACGTGCTCACTGCGGAGTCGATGTTTGTTTGCGAGCTGACGTCTCCACCGTGTCCCACTCATCCCAGCGACCGGTGGCTGCAGTCTTACAAACAGCCGCTGGGTTCTATTATTCTGTGTCTGCTGGCTCTCACACACACCACACGCACGCACACACACAACGCGACTCTAATAAGGGTCAACTCTGTCCCTGTGCTCAAACGAGCACCGGCACTGTGGACAGCGGAGAGTAGTGCAGCAAAATGCAGTGTTGTACTGTAATTGTATGCTCCCCCCCACCTTTGCCAACCCACACTGACCGCAGAGTAATGAAGAATGGTCAAGTAATGCCCCCCCCCACACCGCTCCAGGAGAACCGCGCAGCGTTAGGTCATCATCCAGCAGTGGATTGATCAGCCCCAGCTGTACCCCGAGCCCTACCGCTGGCGATTTCCCAGGCACCTGTGTCGCGTGTTTATTTTTATCTTCAGTTTTAGCGTTGATAGTGCCACAACAAATCTATCAGACTGAGACGCGTTCGAAGAGACGCGGAACTCGGTCGAACGCAAGCGGACCCCGAAAGATGACCCTGATATGAGGCCCACTAAAAAAGGGGGTATTTACAGCACTTATATTTGAGTGCTCGCTTGACCGGTGAGACATGAAGACGGATTGGGGAGGCATTGATCTCGCAATGGATTGATCATGGCTGGCGATGATACGGCAAACAGATGCCGAATGTCACTTCGGGGAAAGCTGCAGTGAAGGCAATTGTGAAAAATAATAAAAGTGGTGAATGCGAATATTTGTCAATAACAAGCCCCCTTCAAATGCGCGCCTCCTCTCCGCTATTGAAATCGCCCTCCAAACAGCGAACACGATGTGTGATTGCATAATTAAAAACAAGCGTGAGAACGTGCGTTTTGTACAAAAACGAGCACACACGGTGACGTCAGAAAGTTCTTCACTCGTGCCAGGGGGTTTGACACATGTTTTATTTACGTCCAGCATTCTGGCATCTCCTGTATAAACAAATATCGATTCTCATTATTAATACACGGGCAGCTTGTGCGGCTAATTGGCGATGCTTTACTCGTGAATAATAGCACATGGCACAAGCCACATGGACCAATGTCCTACAGTGGACACACCTTGAGTCACCGACGGTCTTGGCGAGACCCATTTTTTCTGTTATTCAAGAGAAACGGGTGCTGAGCTACAGAGTATGGCTCCGCACACACAGTTCGAATATCGCACAAGAATTCTCAACGTCTTAAAGGGCCCCTCGCTCTCGCAGGAAAATTGCTTTTGCAATTCTTTCTTTTTCTTTGCGGCGAGCGCAGTGAAAGAGGTGCTGTACACCAACAAACCACGAATTGCCCATGTAGGATGAACATGGCTGCTAAGGCTTCGATAATCTGCCGATGGAAACGGTCTGTCAGAGAGAGAGAGATTGTGTTTCGTAGTATTCATTGAGGGAGCAATAGGTACACACGGGGGACAACCCTCACAAACTTTTTGGTGACAGATGTCTTTTTTTTTCTGCGGCAGCCACGTCGGCGAATTAGACACGGTGGCACGTGTCACGTGCAAGCATTGAGTTCGACATCGCTATAGTTCAGAGATGGGACATTCCATGCTGCTCAACAATGTGATGGTACCTCGCTCATGTTGTGCCCTTTATTTACCCACTCACTGAGTTTCAAGACTTTCAAGAGGTGCCCGCATTGGAACATTGGGCCAAATCTGCGAATGTTTGGCTTCGTGTGGCAGGAAACAAAAACACGGAACTCGGAGCTCTGCACAGTTATATTCAAGAACCCATTGCTGTCCTGCCAATTCCTGGCCACCTCGCATTGCAAGCCTACAACGCACGGTGGTCTAATCCAAGTACTATCCGTGCTCAAAACCTGTTTAGCTTCGCTGTTTTGATAAAACGTGGGCGTGCATTCAGGAGGACGTGGTCACACGAACTCGCGTTTAGCTTTGTGTCTCTTTATGTCGCCCACTATAACGCACCTTGTACAAGCACTGTGGAAATGTAGCAACAGAAGGTACAAAAACTTGTTAAAGTGAATCGGACGGACACTTGAACAAATATGATGAGCGTTGGATTTGAACTCCGGATCCACATCAAAAACACTACTGGCATAAACTACCAATTGCATATGAGTGGTTGGTCTTGTTTTGGACGATTCAAATATTTAAGTCGAATAGGTCTCCAACGTTGGCCGGTGATCATCTCCATCGGGCGGTGCCGAGTCAGCGGCAGAAGGAAATTCCACATTCCTACGACCGGTGGCTGTCCCTGCATAGAGACAACCGTTAAAACGTCCGATAAAGTTGTACTCGCTTCACCGTCCCTGCAGGGATTAATGTGGCCGAGTAGAACCCCCTAATGGTATTTAAAACAGAACTATTGAGAGTTTGGCGAGTTTTGTCCGGCCGGATAGAGAGGGTTTCACTTCTTTAGTTTTAGCACCTTGTGTGTGAGTGTTTTTTTTTCTATGGTGAAGAATTATTACAAACTTCATCTGCGACACATACGGGCAGATTTGTTGAGAAGCAGTGTTCACGATTATTATAAAAATATATATACTATCCCACACGCAGTGGCCGCGTTGCGTGTGATTGGTTGAAATGACGATCCCGTCTGATGCGTAAACACTCACCGCGCGCGTGCTGTTTATAAAACAACAAGTGTCTTGTGAGCACTTCTTTAGGCATATAGGTCGATTTTTTTAAACATATATTCACGGTATGCAGTAAAAGGTAAAACGGTGTAGAGAGATCGAGAGCCTTCGAGGCCCCTGTGATACACACGCGTAATTATATTCACATTTTTTGTTTTTTTATATGCAGTGTCTGTCTAGGTTGAAGAGGCAGGGTAGTACGTTGAGTATGGTGGAAATATAAAAAATATATAACACACACGAAAAGTAAACGTAATGTATGATATGCAGTATAGGATACAGAGGGCTCTATTCTGGATTTTAAAACCATGCTAAGTGGTACAAGTGGTCATGGGGTTAGGTTGTTTCATAGACAAATACATATTATTATTATTTGAGAGAATACAACACATGCGGGAGGGGAAATTGGTTTAGAAAAGTAGAACACTTTGCTGTGATGCTACGTCAAGTAGTATTGGTGTTGGTTCATGGCTCTGCATCTTGCCCATGCATTCACTGTGAGCCTGGAATAATAGGAAGTTAATTTCATCTCCAGAGACAATTGCACTCGATGATGAAAGGACACAACTCTGTATTACGGATACACGCTGTAGCCTAGAGATATAATTGTATATTAAATACACACAGGCACAGACACACAACTGCCATGCATCCAAACACACAAGCACGTGCACACTCAATTGTTTAAAAAAACGAGGACTTACAGTAAGTGATGTTTGCCAAAAACAGCAGCCGTAGATATTTTTTCCCGTTTGTTCTCTCGTGCCGTGAAGCAGAGGTTGTGTATTCATTAAAGGTGGAAATCGCTTTACTGTCGAATAATAAACAAGGACAATCTCACGTTTTCTTGACCTCAATCATCATACTTTACAGTGTATGTTGAACTTCTTCCGCACCGTACGTAGCCAACCGTGCTAATCGGAGGTGCGGGGGAAGGACAACAAACTAAACACAAAAAGCAGTTCTTAAAAAATGAGTTTTCAATCGAGATTTAAAAGCGCATCATAGCTCCAGTTGACGTCCTAATATGGGAAGGAAGAGCGTTCCAGACGGCCGCGCAAGCGCATCTGAAAGCGCCGCGCGATGCGGTGGCCGCCATCTTTGTTCGATGGCTGCGAGGATGACCACTGGAGTTTGCGTGATGATGGTTTATGTTCCTAAACGAGATCAGCAAGGTATTATGGTTCATTTGTGGCAAGCACTTTACGTGTGGTAATGAGTGCGACCTCATAATGTATTCGTTCAGCAATCGGAAGCCCAATGCAACTCGGCGAGCACTCGACGGACATGGTCGGATCTTTCAGTGACCGTCACGACGCGTGCTAACGAATGTTGTACACGCTTCAGCTTGGTCATATTTTTTGGCAGATGTTCCTTAGAGTAGCGAGTTGTGACGATCGAGCTTTGTCGATACTATACTATGTTACACGCCACCGTGTTCGCTATTTCACGACACAACGGTGGTCGAATGTGTTGTAGAGCCCCGATATGAAAATTATGACGATGAACCTGGCTTCTTGTTATCCCGTGGCTCCAAGGGCACTGTAGTTCCTGTCATGGACGTCACGAACCACCTCCAATTAAATCCGATCTCGTGCTCGTATTACGTTTACACTTGTGGTAGCTGCTGCTGTTGTAATTCCATCCATCTCACTCAGGGGATGGACACCCCCCCCCCCCCGCATCAGCAAGTGCCCCTTGCAGTGACATAAGTGAATGAGGTGTGTCTGTGTGTGTTAATATGTAGCCCACCAAATGTATTTGAAAGTCCTATTTGGCCCTCAGTAAGGAAATAAAACTATAAGTTGAAACTGAACTATTTTTATTTTATCAGGTAAGGCCCACTGAGCTATGTAGCTCTTTTTCAGAAGTGATCTGCTGACAAATGATTGCTCAAGGAAGTGGCTTATCATGTGCAAATTAATTGCAGCCGAATACTCTAAATATGAAGGTAAAACCCGGAGAAAAATCCACGCGACTACGGGGAGAACTTGCAAACCCCAAATATACAGCAGCAGGCATCAGGGCCGGGATCGAGCCCACGACCTCCTGCATACTAGGCGAGGGAGTTAACATCTCCTAGCCACTGTGGCGCCCTGAATAAGAGCGTGTTAGGCCGGGTGGAGCGGTGGCACAGTGTAGCAGCATCAAACATCGGCATCATCGTTATGATCGTGTAATGAGCGACTTCGGCGACACGTCGTGTAGAGGGTATTCTTCTTGATTTCATAATCGGGCACAGTACAGGCCAACGTTATCTTCTAGCTCTTCCGAGTACACACTTTGGATATTAACGTTGCTACAGACTACACACACGGTTGATCACACGACGGGGCTCCGCCCGTCCACTTCCGGCCTCGCCGCTGGCTGACGGGGCGCCGGTAAGGGCGGTGGAACTCCGCAGGAGATCCGCCACGTGGCCGAACGACGGAGAGAGATGACGGCGAGCAGCGACGCAGTCCGGACCCAAGACTCCACACACCGACCCCGAGTCCTCCTCCGCCTCCGCTTATATAGCCGCAGGTGCTGCTAGGCTCCGCCTCCAGCCACGCCCTCTCGTGGAACTTTCTAGCCAGTTCTCGGAGTTTCTTGGCCAGTGCCATCCTCACCGTTGACCCAGATACCTCTCCCTTGGGGATTGGATAATGTTTATAGTGGGGCCTGTACCCATGTTTCCCTTTTCCAACCAGGCACTATTTTACTTTACCGAGTGTTAACATCCCTAACGTTTAACAGTACTCTCTTTATTGTCAGCCAACACTGGTATAAACATGGGCATTTTTGTTCCTTTCCTATTATGTACATCTACAGCGACTTGCGCACAAACACGTCGTTGACCACGACCACGAGTACCCCGTCCCTCTGTTAGCCCCGCCCCCCTCCCGATACGTTCCATTCATTGGCTACCACATTCTGATGGGCCCCTCCCCCCTCCACTGGTACTTAAGAGCTTAACACCTTGAATCCCTCCCTCACTTGATGCAGCTAATCTGGCTGTGACGGTCCCACCTGATGACGGAGACTTGTGTTGCCTCCGAAACGTCGTGATTTTTATTGTTTTATTTCTTATTAATTTTAATTTCATTTTTTACCTACGTGACTTTACCGAAAGAACTAAGAGTATGAATCCTTGCAGTCACGAAAGCTTCAAATCTAGAATGTAAGAGTGGTCCTTGATGGACGTGTCAATTGTGTATGACAAGTTTGGGTGGCAAGGTGGTGCAGTGGTAACACGCGTGCCTCACGACAAGAAACCCCTGGGCGCCTTTCTGCATGGAGTTTGTATGTTCTCCCCATTGTCTGTATAGGTTTCTCCACTTTCTGCCCATAGCAACAACACAAATGATTAAAACGCAACTGCTAATGTGAAAAAATCCCGATGCTGAAAACAATTTCGACAAATCACTCAAATTGTGTTACGTAGCAACATCGCCTCCGACTGTAGAAGACTCGGCAGGACCCTCCTGAAATGAAAGTCTTGAGTCACAGGGAGGCTTTCCTGGGCAAACAGGCATTAAAAAAGGGAGAAGATCCAAAGCCAGATGGTAGGATTTGACTTAAAGAGCAGACATTGGAGGTCGGCTGTTGCTTAGCAACAAGTACAGGATGTATCATGAAGCCATAGAGAGGTGTGATGACATCGAAGGCATTGACTTCTTCATATGAATTTCTGGCTTTCAATCCAATTTCCTTTTCATCCGCGTGGGGTTCTCTGCTCGAATATGTTTAAGTGGGCTTTGAGCCATCATACGTGGTTCGCTCATAATAGTTTTAAGTAATCCAGCATTTGCGTGCAGGGAATATTGATGAAATATTTGGGAAGTTTAATGGCACCCACACTATTTTATTTAAAAAATCGTCTTAAAATAACTGATTTACATTTCTCAATCCACGAAAGAATGCGTCCTGTATGTGTGTTGACCTTCTAATTGGTGGTGCCGTGTCAGCTATGAATGTTGTTTTGACCATTCTTCACCACGCTGGTTCTGAATAATCAATGGTGAAGTTAATCATTAACGACGTTATCCAATCTATGATCATTATAATTACTACATTAAAGTGCATAAATGGCGCATTCATGTGCTCTGAAGGGCTATTGCTCGAAATGCCACCTAAAATAAGACTTTTCCTTTTAGGGTCCTCTGATGAATGTGTTTTTTCTGCCAAACTTAGTAGCGGGATCACCAATCTATTTACTGCTATAATGAGCCAACAATGTCTGTGTGTCCCGCGCGTGACGTCACTCCACATCGGCCAGCCCCCCTCATTAATAATCATGAACAGGTGACGTCTTCCAAATGGACACCCCCCTTCATTAATATTAATTAGCGGCTGACGTCACTCCACATGGGCAGAACCCTCACGTCACGTGGCCTCCGCTATTGAGACATAGAAGTAAAAAGGACATCGTGATGAACAAGGGATTATAACCTTTAAATAAAACAGCTCTGTGTCACCGCGCCCTTACAAATTGCACACCAATTGATGCAATGAATATCGCGCTCTGCTTTTCGCTTGCATGTTTCAGATTAACTGCAATACACCGATGCTTTGACGGGCTAAAGGCGAGTTTTAAAAAATAATTATTACGATCACAACCACCAAAAACGATCACAAACTATTGGAAATAACTCTTTGGTTACTTCGGTAAAGTCACACAGAAATAAAATAAATAATAGAATACGCCGTTTGGATTGCAACACAAGCAACCGTCATTAGGTGTGAATGAATGAGATAACAAAGCTGGTAAACTTAGAAATGTAATGCAACACAGAGGGTCGGCTAACACACCAGTTAACACTTTCCCTGGATGATTGTGGACACACTGAAAAACACAACAGGTGAAACGTTCTCAAAATGACATTTCTCTCGGCTCCATCGTGTAGTTGCAGTCTGTTACTCTCTGTGAAAAAAGAGCTTCATAGTATGAAAACATAAGAATAGGTTCTATAATTTCTGGCCAAAAAACACAGGTGTTAAGATATTCTTGGTTATTTCGGTAAAATCATGTGACTTTGCCGAAATAACCAAGTATATGAATCCCTGCAGTCACGAACGCTTGAAATCGGAAGTGTTAAGATGTTCAAACACCAAATAGAAACCTGGTGGGGAGTTACCCCTGACTAAGATGGCGGCTAATGGAGGTGGCTGGGGAGTTACCCCTGACTAAAATGACGGGTAAAGGAGGGGAGGGGAGCTGGGAGTTACCCCTGACTAAGATGGCGTGTAATGGTAGAGAAGGGGGCTGGTGAATTACCCCTGACTAAGATGGCGGCTAATGGAGGGGATGGGGGCTGGATAGATACCCCTGACTGAAATGGCGGCTAACGGAGGGGGGCTGGGTAGTTACCCCTAAAATGGCGGCTAATGGAGGGGAGGGGGCTGGGACGTTTACCCCTAATTAAGGTGGCGGCTAATGGTAGAGAAGGGGGCTGGGACGTTACCCTAACTAAGATGGCGGCTAATGGTGGGGAGGGAGCCAGGAGTTACCCCTGACTAAGATGGCGGCTATTGGTAGGGAAGGGGGGGACTGGGGAGTTACCCTTGACTAAGATGGCTGCCCCGGGTGTTCGTCAAGTGGCGACAGGCCTCTCAACGTGCGCGCCAGAGAGACGGGACAGAGAGGATGGCGCTACCCGCGTCTCAGCGACGAGCCGAGGACGTGGTTCAATACCGGGTCTTCTTCCTCACTCCCCACGGCGGCCAGGGGGACCCCCCGCCGCGAGAGACCGAGGCGGAGCTGCGAGGCTGCCTCGAGCGAGTCCGGGCCGCCGTCGCCCCGCTCGTGTGCGGCTACATTTGGCAGGAGCAGCGGTTCGCGCTGAGGGTCCGGCCCGGCCGAGGTAAAGACGCGGGTCTCGGGGTGTTTACTCGATTAGAAAATAATGCGGTGCAATTTGTTTGACGGTGGTATTGTTCTATTATTGTTATTATACGTGTGACTTCACCGTAGTTGGGGTTATGGTGAATGAAACATTTCAAGTATTTGGCTCCTGCTGTACGTTCCCACGTGACGATGGCCCACTTCGTTTGGGCTGTCATTTGTGATAGCCAAGTCGCTTCTGAAAAATAACAATATAGCAATCAAGGAGGTCCAATGAAGTAAGCTCGGTGGTGAAATAAAAATAAATTTGTTTAAACTGAGCGAAACGGCGTGGTGATGTCCTCATCCAGCAGTGGAGTGTACCCCTGCACTGCAGTGGCACACTGCCATGTGGAGTGTACCCCTGCACTGCAGTGGCACGCTGCCATGTGGAGTGTACCCCCTGCACTGCAGTGGCACACTGCCATGTGCAGTGTACCCCTGCACTGCAGTGGCACGCTGCCATGTGGAGTGTACCCCCTGCACTGCAGTGGCACACTGCCATGTGCAGTGTACCCCTGCACTGCAGTGGCACACTGCCATGTGGAGTGTACCCCTGCACTGCAGTGGCACACTGCCATGTGCAGTGTACCCCTGCACTGCAGTGGCACACTGCCATGTGGAGTGTACCCCTGCACTGCAGTGGCACACTGCCATGTGCAGTGTACCCCTGCACTGCAGTGGCACGCTGCCATGTGGAGTGTACCCCCTGCACTGCAGTGGCACACTGCCATGTGGAGTGTACCCCTGCACTGCAGTGGCACGCTGCCATGTGGAGTGTACCCCCTGCACTGCAGTGGCACACTGCCATGTGCAGTGTACCCCTGCACTGCAGTGGCACGCTGCCATGTGGAGTGTACCCCCTGCACTGCAGTGGCACACTGCCATGTGCAGTGTACCCCTGCACTGCAGTGGCACACTGCCATGTGGAGTGTACCCCTGCACTGCAGTGGCACACTGCCATGTGCAGTGTACCCCTGCACTGCAGTGGCACACTGCCATGTGGAGTGTACCCCTGCACTGCAGTGGCACACTGCCATGTGCACTGTACCCCTGCACTGCAGTGGCACGCTGCCATGTGGAGTGTACCCCCTGCACTGCAGTGGCACACTGCCATGTGGAGTGTACCCCCTGCACTGCAGTGGCACGCTGCCATGTGGAGTGTACCCCTGCACTGCAGTGGCACACTGCCATGTGGAGTGTACCCCTGCACTGCAGTGGCACACTGCCATGTGCAGTGTACCCCCTGCACTGCAGTGGCACACTGCCATGTGGAGTGTACCCCTGCACTGCAGTGGCACACTGCCATGTGGAGTGTACCCCTGCACTGCAGTGGCACACTGCCATGTGGAGTGTACCCCCTGCGCTGCAGTGGCACACTGCCATGTGCAGTGTACCCCTGCACTGCAGTGGCACACTGCCATGTGGAGTGTACCCCTGCACTGCAGTGGCACACTGCCATGTGGAGTGTACCCCTGCACTGCAGTGGCACACTGCCATGTGGAGTGTACCCCTGCACTGCAGTGGCACACTGCCATGTGGAGTGTACCCCTGCACTGCAGTGGCACACTGCCATGTGGAGTGTACCCCTGCACTGCAGTGGCACATTGCCATGTGGAGTGTACCCCTGCACTGCAGTGGCACACTGCCATGTGGAGTGTACCCCCTGCACTGCAGTGGCACACTGCCATGTGGAGTGTACCCCCTGCACTGCAGTGGCACATTGCCATGTGGAGTGTACCCCTGCACTGCAGTGGCACACTGCCATGTGGAGTGTACCCCCTGCACTGCAGTGGCACACTGCCATGTGGAGTGTACCCCTGCACTAGAGTGGCACACTGCCATGTGCAGTGTACCCCTGCACTGCAGTGGCACACTGCCATGTGGAGTGTACCCTCTGCACTGCAGTGGCACACTGCCATGTGGAGTGTACCCCTGCACTGCAGTGGCACACTGCCATGTGGAGTGTACCCTCTGCACTAGAGTGGCACACTGCCATGTGGAGTGTACCCCTGCACTGCAGTGGCACACTGCCATGTGGAGTGTACCCCTGCACTGCAGTGGCACACTGCCATGTGGAGTGTACCCTCTGCACTAGAGTGGCACACTGCCATGTGGAGTGTACCCCTGCACTGCAGTGGCACACTGCCATGTGGAGTGTACCCCTGCACTGCAGTGGCACACTGCCATGTGAGTGTACCCCCTGCACTGCAGTGGCACACTGCCATGTGGAGTGTACCCCTGCACTGCAGTGGCACACTGCCATGTGAGTGTACCCCCTGCACTGCAGTGGCACACTGCCATGTGAGTGTACCCCCTGCACTGCAGTGGCACACTGCCATGTGGAGTGTACCCCCTGCACTGCAGTGGCACACTGCCATGTGCAGTGTACCCCCTGCACTGCAGTGGCACACTGCCATGTGGAGTGTACCCCCTGCGCTGCAGTGGCACGCTGCCATGTGGAGTGTACCCCCTGCACTGCAGTGGCACACTGCCATGTGGAGGTGGAGGGGGCCCTTGTACCGACAAGAAGATGTTCGAGGTCTTTCATGAACCGAGGGACAAACTCACACTTAAATAATTCACATTCCTCAATGACACTGCCCTAAATGGGAAAAAATATATATGCTGTACGTAAAGTTGTTTGTATAGATTTAATTACGGATGTGCGGATATTTATCTCGGTAAGGAAATTGTTTAGCTGTTTATGATCTATCGTAATCTGTATGTCTCGAACACCTCTTAGAGTACTTCCCGACAACGTACACAATGTACCGTATAGAGCACAATCTGAAAATCCGAGATTTTTCATTTTAAGGCCCCCAGATCTCGATTTTAAGTGTCCCATAAACATGTTTGGTGCAATTCAGAAACCATCCAAAATATGAGTGCGGGTCTTTTTTCGTTTTCTAAAGAGTTAAACGGCAAATAGAATTAAAGCGAGAACCATTGGTTCAGTCTTTTATTGTTTGGAGATATTTCGGATTCGAGCGGTTTGAACGAAAAAATCCGCATTTTATGATGTTCAATCTGAGTAGTTCGATCACGGTAAAATATAAGTGTCCTCTCATAGACTAGTGAGTTCATAAATGTTTGTTCTTTCAAATAAATAACGGATTTTTTTTTTAATTGAGCTGTTTCTGTTGGGTACGCCTATAAATATAAGAAGCTGAATCAAGTCATCAACAAGTAAAACATGTTGTAGTTAGTGTCTCACCGTAGATAAAAATAGTAAAACAAAATCATATCAGTTTAACTACTATATTTATTGAAAACTTTTTTCCTGGCGAAGACAGGCTTAGTTTATTATATAGTTTACATTCCAAGCATACTCCCTTCAAATATTGAAAATGTATTTTAACTTTATGTGTGATATTTGAATTCACTTATTAATCACTGAAATAACTGTTCGGGTGATTTGGCACTTGCGATATAAAATAAATGATAAAAAAATAACTTGTGTAATTTTGCCTCAAATATAAATCGGCGCTTTTAAAAGTTGTAGATCTTTTTGAAAATTGAGAAGAAAATTTACGGCAAAAAATAATTGTAATTTATCGTTAATTAATTATGTTGCCAACTTCAAATATTGCCCGAGGGCGAATTATACTTAAATATACGTAAACAAAAAAAAATATATACATAATGCTGTATGTATATATGCTGTAATATGCGGCGTTTCAGGCTATGGCCCTGCCATAGGTCAGAAAGAATGAGTGAATAACAGACTGCAACTGCATGGTGGAGCCCAGAGAGAGAAATGTAATTGTTTGAAACGTTCTCCCTGCTTGTGTTTTCCAATCGTGTCCCTCCGACAATGTTCTCTTGCTCATCTTTAGCCTCGCTTTGCTACCCCTCTTGTAAACTTAAGTTACTTCCAGGAGTTTGTGATAATTGCGTACATATATGTTGAACTTCTTTCGCACCATACGTAGCCAACAGAAGCCATGCGTACGGATGCTTTTTCCTCCCTTGTTTTATTTATGCTCATTGCTCAATCCAAATCACATGCTGCTGATAAACACATTCCTGCGGAGGGAGCTGGTAGGAACGTTGGGTTGCTCGGTCAATGGCCAGGGTCAACGGTGGCGTGGTGTATTCCGCAAATATGCCCGACTGTGAGGGCGGGCACAAGCCGGCGTGAGTAGGTTAAACGTTGAGTTTTATAAGGGCACCACGGGGTGACCAGCCCCTCCCCACCCAGCCCCACCCTCCCCACCCAGCCCACCCAGCCCCTCCCCTCACATTTTTGGATGCACAACGGACGGACATCAAAATCCCCTGTGGGCTGGTGTTACCAGGAGGTTCCTACCAGTATTACATTCATGCTTAAGGGAGCACGAACAAACGAGACAGGTCAAGAAAGACTCGAATATTTGAATGGAGTCGCGATGATTCATCGTCTGAATCGTTACACCACGAACCGCCACGGTCTATAGTCCGGTGTGGTCTTCACTGGACCAGCGTGTTGAAGTATGGTCAAATAACCCACACTGCGCGTGGGGAGGACCACATCCAGCAGTGGATTGACAAGAGGGTTGTATAATGTATGAAGGTTGAACTTCTTTCGCACCGTGCGTAGCCAACCGTGCTAATCGTAGGTGCAGGGGAAGGACACGTGAAGTGAGTTGATTGTCTCTGCCCGATGACTAATGAATGACTGCAATACAATTATTATCACGTGTATTATTGATTACCATCTGACAAACGCCTCTATATCGTCCAGAGGCTGTTCTCAAATACAGTAACACATTAAGGTAATTCACTGCTTGTTGCCACAGTTCCAAATGGATCATGACATAACACCCATTGCACACTTCGATATAAGAATATACTTTTTAAAAAAATACACTATCTAAAAAAAATGTCACGTATACAAGTTCATAGTTTAGGCATATTTTCGTTTGTAGGCAACGGATGATGTTGAACTCGTGACACCATCCGACCCACGTGGGTACATCGTTGTCGGCACACCTGGTAACAAAGTCTGGAGATCGATTATATTGGGAAATGGTCGAAGCATGGCAGTGCCCAGAGAAAAGGGGAAAAGCCTATTATCATATTTTGATACTGGCAAAGGATGATGAGTGTGCAACAATTGATTTATTACGGTACATGGTTTGAATTGTACACTAAGAATCAATTTACAATTCGTATTTTTTTACGGAAATGTTCCATTAAGGCTAATGGGGGAAATGAGACAATATAAATGAGACAGAACACGTGGCACAGAGAGTGGGTGGGTGTGGGGCAGGGGGGTTGTGAATCATAACGTGCCACGTCATTATCATTGGCAGTCTCATTTTTATCTTGCCTTTCACACTGAAACATGTCTGGGACAGTGACACTGCAGTGATATTATATTTCTTCCTCTAATTTTCCAAAATCTCTTTCACCCAATTATTTCCCGGTTCTTTATTGGCATCCTGTCACGAGATGAACTGGCTATTTGGGTCTGTCGCCAGAGATGAATTTAGTAATTTTAGAAATTGAGGGTTAATTATAAAATTTGGGTTCTGGGCATGATCACCCTTTAGCGGAGCCACTGAGGCTGTGTTACGTGCAGCACCGGCTACTCTGATGCAAAGGAGGCGCCACCGGTGACGGTTTCACGGAAACGGTGAGGTATTAATGGACGAAATGGATTGAAAATGGAGCACTGTACAAGCAAAGTAATTGAATTATATTCGGAGAAGAGTTATCTCGAGAAGAGTTATCGCGACACTAAATCTGTTTCAGAGTTGATTTTGGACCACTCTACAATTTACTGCTGTGCCTCGTGCAGACCCATTGTGTAAAATACCAACGGATGTTTGATTATTGATACAACCACGTCCTGATAGCAGAAAGTCCATACCTGATTTATGGTTGAGATAACTGGTCTCCTTCAATGAAGGCATTGTTGTGCAGAGACTCTTGAAATCACCTGTGACGAATACTAGTCGAATGCAAAAGGTGGTTACATGTTTTTTTAAACGTAATTTGTGCAAATGGAACGGTATTGCACTTCTGCTACATGTATCATCCTTTCCGTCTATCAGGGCAAAGTGGTTAGCATGCTGTGCTGTGAAACCATTGACCTGTGTTCGATTCACGGCCATGAAAACATTTGTGGTGGGTCATTTATACCAGTCGTGGGACTTTGCCAACCTTCACTGACCAGCGTAGTGGAGTTATCATCATCATTAGCCATGCTCAATCCATTGCAGAACGAACTTCTTCTCAGTCCGTAGCCATCTCTCATGATTCTGCGATTTAGCAATCCACTTTGCGCCTGGACATAAGTTGATATCATTCCACCTCCTTGGTGAAGATCAAGCATGGGTTTAGCAGTAGAGTTAATAGAAGTCTGCAAAATTAAGATAATGACTTCTCATTGACAATGGACAAAGTCACCTTCGTTTGCGTCCACACAGATGGGATTCCCGCGCACCTCTATGGCCAGACGACCTTCGGTGACAACGTGGAAGATGAGTGGTTTGTGGTCTTCCTGGTGCGGGAGATCACACGTCTCATCCCGGAGGCCGTCGCATGGTGAGTGCCCCCTGTGCCGCCCGTGCCCCTCCCCCTGTGCCCCCCCCCTCACCCTCCACACAGCTCACGGACAAGAAGCAGCAAGTGCCAAGGCTAACAAAACCATTAAACTTTTTGCACGCAGCACGAATTGTGTTTAAAACAAATAACTGCATAATTTCAGTGTAAGAGCAGATGGAGTAGAGGGACCGAGATTGAGATGGAACGATGGGGGGTAGTGGATGTGGCAAAGATGGAGAGAGAAAATTGGGAGCAGCCGACATCATGCAATGATGGGAATTTTGCCTTTGTCGAAGAGGAACAACTTACGTAAACATACAATTGCAGAAGATAATGTGGAAATAAATCTTTCTAGGTGGAATCAGGAAGCGGAGGTTGAGACTAATGGGTGGGATGGAGGAGGCGGGGTTACCGAGAGGTTCGGGGCCAAGGGAAAGACATAATTCCAGGCGGTGGTGGTGATGAGAATGGTAAGAGTGGTCCTTGCAGGACGTGTCGACTGTAACTACAGTATACTTAAAGCCAGGTGGTGTCGGTAAAGACTGTCAAAGTTGACTTTGAAGCTCAGGTGTCAACTTTACAGCAACTTTGGGATCTAGTGGAAGGAAAGAAGCAGCATGGCAATATGTGGTGGCATAATGATCATTGGCAGTTATGACCTCTCGACCTTGTGCTTCATCTTGTGACCTCCGCACACTGCCCCTCAGGCTCGAGGACACGGACGGGCAGTTCCTGCTCATTGAGGCCGCCCACCACCTGCCTCGCTGGCTCAACCCGGACACCAGTGAGAACCGGGTGATTTACCCACAAAGCCACACTCGCACACGTCCACCTTCAGTGAGGGCGCTTGAGGTACAATAAAATTGGCATGTAATATAACGTGCTAAAATATTGCACGTGTTATAATCACGTGGGAAGAGCTATTATGTGCTCGACCAGAGACGTACAGCTCAAAAACAATGCACTAGTGCAGCATTGTCTCTGAGCTGTACGCCTTTTGGCGTCCTCTGGTCGAGCACCAATTGGGTCGAGGCTCAAAAGAAAGCTGTCCCTGGTGTGGACCAATCAGTTTCAAGGACAATGCATATATTATCATAGTATGTTTTTTGTTGGCATTTTGCCTGCAAGTATTGTGGTTAATGCAGACATGAATCCTTGTAAAAAGGTTTCAGTTTTGTTGCCAGAAAAAAAGGGGAAAAACCCTAATATTGCAACAGGTAACTCTTAACATAGGGTGGTGACCACCGACCTATCCTCGCTAACACACCATCACACGCCATCACTCGCTAACACTGACGCTCTGATACGACTGGCGTGGCCAAGCCAGGAGGGCTACTGGTTGGCCACGCTGACTTGAGGCTTGACTCTTCTTCTTCTTCACGAGGCGTCTTCATGAGGCATCTTCATCCCGGACACGAGCAGCCCCGCACCAGGTGCGGAGGCCGCTGATATGCGCCTGGGCGTGTCCGGGCCACACCCCGGCCACGCCCACCTTCGAGAACTCTCGAGTGGCCCCCAAGGTGCCCCCGGGGCCCCCGGCCCCCACCTTGATCCGGTCACGTGTCCAGCCGGGTTCATACAACCCCCGCGGTGCTCACCCACGGCCCCCAGGCCCCCCGAACTGACGTCATTCCCGCATGCAGACGTGATGACGTCATGTGTGTGTGTGAGTGTGTGTGAGTGTGTGTGAGTGCGTGTGTGTGCGTGTGTGTGAGTGTGTGTGGACCCGCGTTGTAGTGACGCTCCCCCCGCGTAGTGACGTCACGCGCGTGTGTGTGTGTGTTTGTGTAGGCCCACACGGTAGTGACGCTACAAGTCACTACACAAGTAAACAGGTGGTTTTATAAAGAAAAACGAGAAGGCAATCTGGAGAGTGTTATTTTCTATTTGTATAATTATACTATTTCATTAAGTGTGTGGATGTTATTTATGTGTACAGTACAGGATAATGTTCTTATATCAGATGTTAGGAAACATTTTTATTTTCCCCTATGCACAGTCGGACACGGGAACCTGATCCGCTTTTTCCCCAAATATACAGTAACAGTACATACATTCGCAAATTCCCCCCCATGGTCCGCCTTGACAGAGCGTCGTTGCTTTTGCGCCAGGTGTTCTTCTACCGCGGGGAGCTCCACATCCTGCCGCTGCCTCGCACACCGGGGGACGTTGGGCGCCTGCCGGTGGGGACCCCCAGCGTGGAGAGTGCCCTGGCGCTGCTGGCGCACCGCGGCCACGACTTCCTGGCAGACGAGCCCATAAGACGCGCCGTCGGCAAACGGATCGACGGGTTCGTAGGCGACGCTGACGACTCTTCCGCACAAAAAAATGATGATTTCACCCCCCCCCGCCACATCTTTGAAAAAGAGCTTAATAGCTCATCAGATTCCTCCAGTCTAAATTTTGATTGTGATAAAGATTCTGAAAGCCTCACCGACTGTAGAGCTAACCGCTACCCTACACGCACACAAACACACACGTACGCACGCACACCACCCACGCGGTCGCCAACTCGGGACGCTGCTGGCGCGGCGGTGTTTGGCGCAGGTACCCAGGCAGGGCGCGGGAGAGCGAGCACCGCGCGCGCTGCCTGCTGCCGCTGGGCGTGGCGGCCGTGCTGCGCCGTCGGCCCGATCTCGTGGCCCCCGCCGTGCGGGCGTTCTACCTGCGCGAGCCCGGCGACCTGCGTGCCTGCCGCTCGTTCCGCACCTTCCCTCCTGGCGCCAGCGTCCTCGCGCTGGTACGGCCGGACGAACGAGAGGAAATCCCCGAACAAAAGGGGAGGTGGGGGGGTGTGTTTGCTTTGCTCGCTTTTTCTGGTTTGCGCAGTAGCTGCTCGGGTCGATGATCCGTCTGTGGCGTGGTAGGGGGGTGCGGGGCACGTTACCTCTTGAAGAGATGGTCCGATATGTATAACAAATTAGTTTAAAACAAAAATAGGTTTTACCCTTTCTGCCAATATTACAAGAGGTGTTAAGATGTTCAAAAGCGAAATGGACACCTATTGCAAGGCATCAAGTCTGCATTAACTACACAGACTTGTGGTAAAACATGCAAACAGACATACGTTGATAATTTAATGCATTGTCTTTGAAACTAGTTGGCCTACACCAGAGACAGCCTTCTTTAAGGCCTTGCCTCACCGGTGTTCTAAACATCTTAACACTTGTGTTGTCGGAAAGGGTAAAGCCTGTTTTTTCATACGCATCGATTAATTGAAAAGTTACGGGGGTAACATTACAATGTCATCGCTCGAGTGCAATAGTGATGGGCTTGGCCATGACCGGTCACATGACACTAGTCAGTCACTGGAGGTTCTTTTATTTCTCATTGTGGGACACAAACACTTGTGCCTGTAGGTAGTAGTATCTGTAAAACAAGAACTGTTTTTGAAAGGTTGTGCCCTACACTCCACTCTCTTGTGGACATGCGGTGTGCTGGCCTTCGTTAATAATGAAATGTTGCAACAAAATATAACGTTCGTTTAAGTTTTTTGCGCTTTTACACGGCGTCAGTTTTCTTGCAACAAATCGTACACGCTCTTGCGTAGGTAATAGCCACACTCGTATGTACACTCAACAATTATGCACCGTATAGTATCACTTTTATATCATGCTCGTTCACCCACTCTGCAATTAAACTGCGTAAGCAAACTGTCTTCAGGAAAGGTTTCTCGACCGTCATCCCCTTACATACCCCGTGTTCTCGTGGCCAGGTGACGTTCACGCGATGCCTCTACGCGCAGCTTTCTCAGCAGCGCTTCGATCCGGACCGGCGCAGCGGCTTCCAGCTGCCGCCACCCTCCGACCCCACGTATCGGGCGCACAGCCTGGGCATGAAGCTGGTGAGACAGAGAGCCATCCTGTGGGCGCCACGGTGGCGAGATGTTAACTACCTTGCATGTTATGCAGGAGGTCGTGAGTTCGATCCCATCCCTGACGCCTGTCTATTTAGAGTTTGTTTGGTCGTGTGGATTTTTCTCCCAGTCTACCGGTTTTTCCCTCCACATTTGGAATCATGCGTTTAGATAATTTAGCTGCTATCAATTTCAAATGTGATAAGCCACTTTGTTGAGCTATCATTTGTGGCCAGGTCGCTTCTGAAAAACAGATATATAGCTCAGTGGGCATTACCTGGTAAAATAAAAATAATAATGGCTTCTGTTCCCCTTGCTGCGCTTGGTGCAGCGTTAGCCAAGGGCTTCCAGAGGAGGTCGGGCCACTTCAGAGGGCAGAGCGCTGAGCCGGCAATGCCGAGAGCCTGGCTTTGAGTCGCAGCAGCCCCCCGCGATTAAACAGAGTTCAGTGTAGCGAGTTGATGGTCTCGGCCTCGTCACCAGTGACTGCAGGAAAAACAACCATCAGATTAAACTTGGTTCTTCACTTAATTTTGATAAATTCCAATTTGTTTGACATTGATATGACAAACATTACTCTCAGGGGCAGAGTGGGTAGGCAGGTGCTGCCCCCTACTGTGTAGTCCAGATGTCACATGAAGGGTCCTGTGATATCCGCCTCCATGAGCCGTCCGCTAGCATGGAGGATTGGCCGTTTCTATGAGGGTTTAAGATGGATTATTTATCTCTTTCATGACAGAAAAAGAGTGACGTCAAAGGGGAGAAGTAGGAGTGTTGTGAGATGGGGGAACTAGGCATGGGTGAGCCCAAGGAGGGCCTTTGTGAGTGCGCTGTGTTGTTTACGCTGTGTGTGTGGCCAGGCTCATGGGTTTGAGATCCTCTGCGCGCGCTGCGCACTCCCGCCCGGCGACACCGGCTCAGAGCGGCCGGTCTCCTCGGACCCACGATGGCAAACCTTCCGTCAGAGCCTGGTCGACGCCGGCTACTTCAAGGGGGAGCTGCAGGGCTCTCGGAGACACCGGGAGCTGCTGCAAGCTGCAGAGACGTACTTCACCCAGTCGCTCAGCGAGCCGGCCAGGTGAGACATGACCGAGTGGCGAGCGCGGCGTCCGGCATCTTGCTAAATGAACGCCGGCTCCTGATATTACAGAAATGTGTCACAATGCCAACGCTTTACGATCCACAAAGGCGGCTGCCAGACGTCTCTCCTGCATCCTTAAGTGAGACCACATTACCCATCCAAGACTCCAATCCCCCTCCAGTGGCTTTCCAATCCAGTCGTGGATTAATTTCAAGATCGCTCTCACCATCATCAAGACTTCCCGTGGACTTGCCCCTGCCTACCTCCAACCCTCTCACATCACTACTGCCTTCCAAGCACTCTATGCATCAGCAACCAAGGCTTTTTTATCGAAACCCCCAGTCAACCTTCACTCAGGTCGCTCATTCTCCTCTGCTGCCCCCACAGTCTGGAACTCTCTCACCAGCCGTCCATGCTGTTGACTGCCTGTCCCTATTCAATTCTGGCTCAAGACTTACATTTTTTCTTTGGCTGATGGTTGACTGCCTTTCTATGAAATAAATATGCCCACTGTTTCTGTACAGCACCTTGAGATGCGGTCATATTTAGGTGCTGTATTATAAACAGGCCCCAACTCGCACATCAAACGGCTTTGATGTTAGCAGCATCGAATTGTTGGAAGTTTTGTGTCCCCGTGCTGTCCGAAAAGGGTTTTGCGGATTGTAACGTGTAAAATAACTTTGTGTTGCGCCCAGTCAGATGCTGCATTATATCACCGAAGTGACATTTCTTCGGCATCACTGCTCTTGTTTGACCCCCATCCATCTTGAGAAAGAGATGTTCGATGTTAATGGGCTCTCACCTGGTTTGAAATGTGGTCCGCTACGTATGTCTGCGAAACAAGTTCAACATACATACAAATAAAGGACTTTAACCCGTTCCCTTTGTGATGATGTACATGTACATCATCAGTTTTTCTTGCAATTCCATATGAAATCATTCAATTCCAAATGAAATCGGAAGTTTAAAGACCTTGCGGGATTGCGTGTGGCACAGTTTGGTTCCAGCGATCAAAGAGTGCGGTCGTGTCGTTACACTTCTCTGTGGTGACTACAATGTCTTTAAAAACAACGGCATGCTATGCGTCTCTAAATAAAATTAACGCTAGCCGCTTGCGCGTTCCAAGATTCAGCGGTGAATGGGAGCCACCCTTCAACTTGCAGATGTCTCGGAACGGGAAAGGGTTAATACACCAGTGAGGTAATGTCTATATAGTGCTCTGATGGGGCACCTGACTGATTTTGACGAAGCTTCAAGCTAGAGTGGGACAGCCCGGAAGCACATCCCGGTGTGTTTCCATTCGTGGGCCCTGAGCTGGTGAAAAAATGTCCGTGTTTATACGACACGTACCAGTTTCTCCATCGGACTGCCGCTGTTGATTTCCCATCCCGAGTTGGAACTTAATTTATTCGCTCCCAAGGGATGATGGGCCACGTCATTCCCTGAACATAATTTGTACTCACAAACCTTATAATCATTGTTGTGAATAATAAAAATTATTTATAGCCATTTTTCCCTTGACATTCAGATGGGGGCTTCCCCCTATTGTGTCGGTCATGGGTAGTTGCTGACCATACTTCACCGTACAGGTCATTGCAGGTTGGTGTTGCATGAACCCGACAGTTCGTTTCCTGGCCACAGCTAACATCAGTGGTGAGTCAGACATCAGAACCACTCCTCGGCACCCCCCTCCCTCACCAAGGGGATCCAGGGCCAGTTGAGATAGAACTCGTCAACGATGTTAGCCGTTGCCAAAAGGATGGATATAAAATATAATAATATTAATTATTATTCTTATCATTGCATATATATATTGTTTCGCTGGTTTGCTAAAATAGGTGTAGTGATGAGGTGCAGCCGGGTGAGGAGGTGCTGTTGGTGCTTCGCGAGGCGACGTTGAGCGAGGAAGAGCTGAAGCGTGAGGAGGAGACGCTGCCCCCTGATGATGGTGAGACCATCAGCAGCTATCGGACGCTTACAGCTTGAGAATTCCTCATCATCGGCATCATCATCGTCATCATCGTCAGTCACGATCAATTCAATGATGGATGAAGGCCCTCCCCAAGCCAATTCTGCATTGCAACAATCCTGTCACCTGCACACGAGCTGATTCGTCACTCCATCTCTTGGGTGGACGCCTTCTCGGACACGTTCCACTCCTTGGCTTCCACTCCCATCGTTATTTTTGACCATCAGCCGTCACCCCCTTAGGCGGCTTGTTGTGCCCAGGCCCACGAACCATTACATAGTTTAAAAAAAAACTATTAGTATTTTCCATGTCATTTAGGCTTCACCACAGCCCGTAGGTGTCCATGTGAAGCTGTACGCTTGTGAATCATTGCTGCACATGTGGTGTGTGTGGCACAGATGACAGCTGGATGGATCTCACCCCCGACCAGCTGGATCACATGCTGGAGGAGAAGGAAGCCTCGTGCAAACAGATGAACGGACGGTGAGGAAGGCACCAACCTCTGTTTTGCCTACTGCGCCACGCATTTTTCACAGTGAGAGTCGCCGCACAAAGTGGGAGGTCGCTCATTCTCCTTTACTGCTCCCATGGTATGGAACTTCCCCAGCAATCCGTGATGTCGACTCGCTGCCCATGTTCAGTGTAGATTAGTTCAAGTTCGGGCTCAAGACCATACTATGTGCCTTCCGCCTATGATCGACTGCCTCTCACTATAAAATAAATACTAGCTGTACTACCCGGCTTCGCCCGGGACTTGTATCCACGACGGCCGGCCGCCTTTGTCTCCCCAGTGGCGATGTTAATACGCCACACCAGTTACTCGTTTTGCGGCTGAGTCCCTCCCTCACCACTCTCCCTCCCTCACCACTCTCCCTCCCTCACCACTCACGCACGGCCGCCTTTGTCTCCCCAGTGGCGATGTTAATACGTCACACCAGTTACTCGTTTGAGGCTGAGTCGACCTAGGGGAGGTTCAAATAATCGTCACCGGTGGTGGACGTGAGCGGGAATGGAACTCGGTTCGCCGGGTTTGTAGCGCAGCGTAGCGTTAACCACTACACCCACCGCTCCTCACACACCACACACGCACAGACAGACACACACACAGACACACGCAGACACACACAGACAGACACACACACACAGACACACAGACAGCACGCTAACCACTACACTACCGCTCCCCACACACCACACACGCACACACACACGCACACACACAGACACACACACACAGACACACACACACAGACACACACACACAGACACAGACAGCACGCTAAGCACTACACTACCGTTCCCCCTACACAACACACGCGCGCGCGTCCATAGGTACACATACACGCGCTTGCTGCAGACACACACGACTGTCAGGGGCGTACGGCAGTAAACGACTGAAAAAAGAAAGCGGCAATGCTGCGCGAGGAACGCCTTAGACCTGCAACACATTTGTGTAATGCGAGCGTAAACACACAAACACATACAAACACATACACACACATACATACACACACATACACACAAACACATACACACATACACACACATACATACACACAGACATACACATACACACAAACACACACATACATACACACAAAAACATAGACAATACACACACACATACATGCAGACACACAGACAGACACATAACACACATACATACACACAGATACATACACAGAAACACATACACACAATACATAGACACACACATACATACACACAAACACATCCACAGACGTACATACACATACATACAGATACGCAGACATACACATAAACACATACAAAAAAACCCACATACATACACACACATACATACACACAAACACATACACACACATACATACACACATGCATACAGACACACAGACATACACAAACATATACACACATACACATGACCCGGCTTCGCCCGGGACTTGGATCCACCACGCCCGGCCGCCTTTGTCTCCCCAGTGCCGATGTTAATACGCCACACCAGTTACTCGTTTGAGGCTGAGTCGACCTAGGGGAGGTTCAAATAATCGTCACCGGTGGTGGCCGTGAGCGGGAATCGAACTCGGTTCGCCGGGTTGGTAGCGCAGCGTAGCGTTAAGCACTACACCCACCGCTCCTCACACACCACACACGCACAGACACACACACAGACACACACACAGACACACGCAGACACACACAGACAGACACAGACAGACACACACAGACACACAGACAGCACGCTAAGCACTACACTACCGCTCCCCACACACCACACACAGACACACACACAGACACACACACAGACACACACACACAGACACAGACAGCACGTTAAGCACTACACTACCGTTCCCCCTACACAACACACGCGCGCGCGTCCATAGGTACACATACACGCGCTTGCTGCAGACACGCACGACTTTCAGGGTGCGTACGGCAGTAAACGACTGAAATAATAAAGCGGCAATGCTGCGCGAGGAACGCCTTAGACCTGCAACACATTTGTGTAATGCGAGCGTAAACACACAAACACATACAAACACATACACACACATACATACACACACATACACACAAACACATACACACACATACACACACATACATACACACAGACATACACATACACACAAACACACACATACATACACACAAACACATACACAATACACACAGACATACATGCAGACACACAGAGACACACATAACACACATACATACACACACATACATACACAGAAACACATACACACACATACATACACACACATACATACACACAAACACATACACACACGTACATACACACATACATACAGACACACAGACATAGACATAAACACATACAAAAAAACCCACATACATACACACACAGACATACACACAAACATACACACACATACATACACACATACATACACAGAAACAAACACATACACACAAACACACACATACATACACACAAACACATACACAATACACACACACATACATGCAGACACACAGACACACACATAACACACATACATACACACGCATACATACACAGAAACACATACACACACATACATACACACACACATACATGCACACAAACACATGCACACACGTACATACACAGACACGCAGACATACGCATAAAGACATACAAATAAACCGACATACATACACACACACATACACACAAACACATACACACACATACATACACACATACATAGAGACACACAGACATACACATAAACACATACACACATACACATGACCCGGCTTCGCCCGGGACTTGGATCCACGATGGCCGGCCGCCTTTGTCTCCCCAGTGACGATGTTCACACACGACAGCAGTTACGCGTTTGAGGCTGAGTCGACCTAAGGGAGGCCCAGGTCCGTTTCAAATAATCGTCAGCGGTGGTGGGCGTGAGTTGGAATGGAACTGGGGTCGCTCAACCAGCTTAATGACTATTTGTACAAAGAACATATAAAGAATCGATTATAATAACCAGGCTACAGTCCACATTATATACTGGCAGTACACGCACTCAGCTTCATAAGCAGGCTAGAGTGTACATGATAGAGTGGCAGTACGCTCACCGAGTTTAATAAGCAGGCTACAGTCTACATGATAGACTGGCAGTACGCTGACCCAGCTTAATGACTATTTGTACAGTGAACATTTAAGTAATCGATTGTTGGCGCGTTGGGTTTAAAAGTAATATAAATTGCACACATTGTGGTGGGGGTGGAGTGAAGAGTAGGAAAAACTTTGATGAATTTACCTCAGAGTGGCGTGGTGGGTGTCGAGGCCTAGTAGCGTGCAGAGCCTGCGGCCTCGCCAAAATTGTCCAGCCGGCAGAGGCAGGGTACGGGTGGCGTGCCTTCCCCCCCCCCCCTCAGCGCTCGAACAATACTGTGTAATGGCTATTATTTAATTATTTACGGAGCCTATGAAAGTGGCGAAGGCGTGGCTAGCCGTTGGCAGGGGCAACCGCCGTCCAATGAAACTGCAGCCCTTGGCGAAGGCGTCGCTAGCCGTTGCCAGGTCCAATGAAAGCGGCGAAGGCGTCGCTAGCCGTTGCCAGGGGCAACCGCCGTCCAATGAAAGTGCGTATGGTCCGAAATCCACACACACACAGACAGACAGACATGCACGATTTTATATATATAGATTTCCTCCGTTGCTGTACAACTTTTTGAGTCGTGGTAACATGAAGATGCTTTATACATTCACATTATATTGTAAAGATATCGTGCAAATGATTTTCGTGTGTGTCTGTGTGTTGAGGGAGTACTGAAGGCGATACAGAGTCTAAGACCAGGAAAGGCACCGGGCAGAAATGATCTCCCAAGCGAAATGTTTAGGGAGGGTGGTATTTGTGCGCAGACTGACCTACATGACATAACAACAGTCTGGACCACTGGACGGGTTCCGCAGGATTGGAAGGATGCCCTGGTAGTCCCCCTCTTTAAGAAGAAGGGGGACCACACAGACTGTAACAACTGCAGGGGCATCTCACTCCTCAGTGTGCCGGGAAAGGTCCTGGCAAATAATTATTCAACATCGCCTTGCCAGACATCCTGAGGAGAGGCTGCGGAGCCCCAATGCGGTTTCAGGAAAGGGCGGTCCTGCACAGATGCCATATTTTCTGTCTGTCTGGTACAACAGAGGTGTAGGGAATTATAACAAGACCTACATCTCTGCTTTATTGACCTGGTCAAGGCCTATGATACCATCAGTAGAGATGGAGTGATGTGGCACAGGAGGATGTGGAGCTGAGTGGACTTGCCGATGACTAGTACCAGCGGTGTCTAGATCGGCCTCTGTGAAGGAGGCTCGTGAAGGACGCTACTGGGCAGTTGGAGGCAGTCGCCCTCCAGCAACAACGGAGGGCGGAGGAGCGACGCTCACAACAACGTGCATGACAGCAATTCGGCACAGTGGGGAGCTTCGGTGGTGCATCTGACAGTTAACCCACAACACCTTGGTCTGTCCCATGACCTCCTGCCAGGCAGCGAGTCTTTCACACTTCACGTTGCCATACAGTGAAGCAAGCCTAGCACAAGCGCTGTGCTGACGTCACTGCTACTTAGCGGCAGCTGCTGTAGCCTGTTCTGTTTGTGCGTGTGAAAGCGGCGGGGCCAGAGAGCGCAAGCAGAAGGAGCGCAACGAAGTCCCGGGGGAAGAGCCTCGGGGCGAGGACAGCTACGACCTCTCAGCGGTGGCCTCCAGCATGAAGGCCTTCATCAGCAAGGTGTCCAGCCTCGAGGGAGCCGAGTTGCCAAGGTGAGCTGCCCCATGCTCACTTGCCACGTGTGGCGAGCAGGCCTGGACTGGCCATAGGGCAGTCAATAGGGCAAATACCCAGTGGACCGGTCCATTCCGAGAGCGGGTTGGCCGGTCTGTGTGGGGAAATTGCAAATGTGATCAGAGTAAAAAAAAAATGTAATCAAATATTTTATTACCTATAATGTGTCCGCTTCATTTATTATTTATGCTCTCAGTTACCATTAAGTCCCAAGTTCGGCAGCCCCAAACATTATTCCTCACCGGCCCATTTGCTTTTTGGACCCAGCCCAAATGGGCAAATGAGATCGCACGGCAAAATCACGCAAATACGTCACATCGCAAATCTAGCTTCTAGTATGCAGCTTGTAGCACAACCATTCAAATACATAAATAGATAACTAAATGAGTAAATAAATAAATTGCCCATACCCCGAATTTGGGCCGGTGTGTTTACAAATTCCTGGGCCGATGTTTAGTCCCAGTCTGTCACTGCCGCATTGTCTTCAGGTCTATCTATATCAGCCGGGCATGGTGGCAACGCGATTCAGGACATTGGAGGCAAGGGTTTGTTGGATCATGTCGAGATTTGTGTGAAACTCCCAAGTCCCACCAGGCTGCGTGGTGGCCAACGGATGACAGTGAAGTGGGTTTGGAAACCCTTCTCTACAGATCTCTACAGACCTCTTGAATGTTACTCCGTCGTCCGTGTGGTTTCCTCCCGATACCCCAGTTTCCTCCCAAATCCAAAACACTCCCTGAAAATGAAGGAATCTTGAGACTTGGTGAGGCTACTCTGGATAAATGACTATAATTATAATAACTTAAAAACAAATGACAGTCCTTGTCAGTCCACTGCAGGATGACGGACCCCCTTCACACCATATTGATCACGTGGGTTAGTTGATCATTTTTCACCACGCTACTCAGTGCAGGTCAGTTGAAGGGAAGATTGCCACGAACTAATTTATGTATCACTGGCCACTGAATCAATCTCAGGATGCCGGCTTCATAGTGCAGTGCACTGACCTCTGTGCTACCAGTCCCTCCACACTCCCCCAGCCCCCCCAAATGCCTCTTGTATTATAATTTTAGTTCTGTACAATGCCCAGCAGTAGGGCATTCGCTGCCTGTTGCATTGGTTCACAGGTAGAATCCAGCTGCCGCTCTGGTTGATCACGGTGGGTGTATCAACTGAAAAAAATTCTCACCGTCTGCTTCATCATGTGCTGGATTTTTCTCCGGGTCCTCCGATCTTTCCCTCCACATTTAGAATCAACATGCGTTTAGGCCTTCGCGTGATAAGCTACTTCGTTGAGCTATCATTTGCGGCAAGGTCGCTTCTAAAAAAGAGCTACATAACGCAGTGGGCCTTACCTGGTAAAATAAACAATAGTTTAGTTGCGTAAAAGAGGGCAGTATTATCAATTACGAAACCATTATTATTTATTGAAGCGCTCTGAGTCGACAAGTGTAACTGTGCCATTAAAATCTGTCCGCTTTCTCTTCTCAGCCTCGAAGACGAACGCCCCGTTCGGCTGGACGTTGACTCCTTCATGGCCGCACTTCACAAGTTGACGGGTGAGCAACGTACAAGGCTGCCGTGGCTGCGTCATGTTTAATCGTTGCGTCCTCACTCAGGCTTCGATGGCTATGCTTCGTTCATCGATAAGTTAACCAGGTGCACGTCGGTGCCGCGCCGGCCAATCTTGAACGGTGAAGTTTTGAGCTCTGTCGGGTTTCTCTGCGCGCCTTGTTTTTCTTGTTACTTGGACATTTTTTCCCTAAAATATCTTCGCATGGGTCGGCCTCTCGGGCGCATTCCCTTCCTCTCCTTGGCTGCCACTGTCGTTAGTCTCGACCACCGGCCGTCATAGCTTCTAGCGACATCTGGAATATTTGTGAAAAAGAGCTTCATAGCTCATCGTATTTCTCCAGGATAAATATTCTGATTCTGCTGAGGCCCAGTTTCACAGTCAAAATGACATCTCTGACCTTCATATGTTATTTACTCAACGTGGTCCACTCTCTGTCTCTTTTGCCTTTAACCAAACAAGCAGGCAAGTGGGCTGTAATAATTTTCAATTTTCTCATGCGGCACGACATTCACAAGGTCCCTTCGCCTCTTCCAGGCCCCGTGATGAACGAGGAGGGCGCCGATCGGTCAGGCTCGGATGACGGGGCCAGCGATGACGGTGACGATGACGACGATGACCTCGACTGGGATGACTGTGACGATGCCGAGGAGTGGGAGGGTGATGATGGCGGTGCTGGAGGAGGCGGCGTGACGGGGCTGAACGATCTGAAGGGCCTGCGCGACTACATGGAGCAGATGGACCGTGAGCTGGCTGCTACCAACGTGGGGAAGAGCTTTGAGCGGCAGCCGCCTGCACAGGTGCGTGCCGGCGTGGGCGCGCACACGCGGGCGGCGACGTTGGGGCACGTGCTTGGAGGGCCACGTGGGAGTACACACATCGTTACCTCTCCTGCGTCTCTCCCAGGTCTCTCAAGTTTCTCCCGCCAAACACGTACTCTGTGTTGTTTCTGCGCAGCAACAGAGACGGGGGACCGTGGGAGGCCCCGCCGGGGTGCACCACGGCCAGCCGCACACCGGAACGGCTCGTGGTCCTGGCGACCACCGCGACGCCAGCGACAACCCCCGGGCCGCGTCGTCCGCCGGCGCGGACGATCTCCGTCCCGTCGACGTGGACCTCAACCTGGTAAGGAACCTGCTGGAGTCATTCAGCTCCCAGGACGGCCTGGCCGGCCCCGCCTCCACGCTCTTGCACAGCATGGGCCTGCGGCTGCCCCACGATTCGCGCGACGACGACTCGTCGTAGCACCACTGCCGCCGCTGCTGGCAGCGGATCAGCCCGGGGTTCGGCCGGACTGCAGAGGTTGGAGCGGTTTGTCTGTGTCGTGCGCAAGAGTTTGATCGATGGAGTGCGTGTGAATTACTGATATGGCCAGTCGTGCAAGAGACCAAACCATCGCACATGCTGCTGGCGTTAATCGGAGCTCGGGAACTTTAGCGTTGGTGCCGTCGTGGTTAACGCACTGTGCACTGTACTTGGCGTCCCGAGTTCAATTCCCGGCCACGGCTGACATCAACGGCGAGCGATATCTGCACTTGTCCTGGGCTCCTCTGTCCCGTCTTTTCATCTTCCCCAACCCACATAACCAGCGTGGTGACGTCTGGTTAAGCAAGACCAACGTGGCATGGGGAGGCCTTCATCCAGCAGTGGATTAAACAAAAGGCGTGTAAATTGTTATAATTTTTCAAACTACAATCCGACACGGTCGACCCCGCGTTTACCACTTTTCTTCAGTTAAATACAAAATTACGCCGTTACACACTGCACACTCCTGATCATCGCTAAGCACGGCTCTCGTAGAAAGCGCGATTCAATTTCTCACCACCAGGCCAAGTAGGATACACAAGGGGGGATGTCATTGGTATCAAGAATTGAAATATCCAGCCGGCTCCCATAACTGACACTATGACTTGTTGACAAATACTGATGGCCAGGAGCAAACGGGGAACGCCAGATGAACTTGCCACCAAGACCAGTGAGGAATATACTGGAATTAAATGCATCGGTTATTAACCCGTTCCCATTCCTATGTTGTACGTGTACATACAAATACGTCATCAGTTTTTCTTTGATTCCGTTCTGGAATAAAAACCAAAATAACTTTATCGGTACCAAGGCTCCCACAAGGCCATGCGGGAGGGCGTGCGGCACAGTATGGCGCCAGCTATCATTGAGTGTGGTTGTGTCGCTACAGTTCTCTGTGGTGAATACAATGTCTTGAAAAACAACGGCGCAATGCCTCTCTAAATAAACTTAACGCGAACCGCTTGCGTGTTCTGAGATTCAGCGGTGAATGGGACACGCACCCTGCAACTTGCAGATGTCTCAGAACGGGAAAGGGTTAATGTGCGTCATCGAGCTGATGAGTGTGCGGTCCAGTGTTTACAAAGAGATGCTGTGTGCACTTGAGAATCGAGCAACCGTTCCCTTCGCTAAGTGCCACCACTGGTGTAATGTACGCGATGCAATGTATACAGATGTATGTAAATGTTACTTGTGTAATGGTTGCTTTCGTTTTATGTATACATTTATTACATTGCTTTGCTTGTGGTGTCCAGTGTATCCGAATGCCGGACGACAGCATCGTGTCGTGTAAGCGGCAATGTGTTTTGTTGTGTATTATCACGAACTCTGGAACCTTTGTAAATGCATTCTGCTGGAAAATACATATTTTTTCAAAGCAGTTTTTCGGCTGAAGTCTCAATCGTTTATTCCATTTCAAAAGGCAAAGCACAATACATTCGTCAGGGTTACTTACACCGTACGTATATTTTTGTCTTAGCAGTGTTGACTGCTGTCTGAATTGTTTATTTGAATTTCAAGAGGCAGTGCACAGTGTGCTTGTTAGTGCGAATATTGCTTTTTTGTACGGAAATGCAAGGCACTTGATAACCATTGTGCAGTGCGGGAAGGAGGCACCTTTCTGACTGCTAAGGGCACTGCACAAGGGGGTGCGTATCGATCACGTCGTTGAAATCGCTCGAGAGCGTCGTCATTTCAAGGGGATCTTGCCCCCCCCCCCCCATCGCTTGAGCGGCGGCCGTGTGTAAACACCGGGCAGCGGGGGTCACGCCACCGCCCCGATGATTGCCGATGTCAACGAGAGCAACAACTCGCGGCCGAGTGCCAATCGAGCTCCCTCGGCACGTGCGTCACTCAACGATGACTCGCTCGCTGTTTGCTACTTGCTGCTACTACTCGCTGCTGCAATTGAAATCTAGATCATTGTCACTTCACGCAAGAGGTGGAGCCGAGGCATTCCGGTGATCATTTGTTACTTTAGCCGGTTGTGGTGTTGGGTAATGTCGAATAGCCAGTCCTTGCGGCGAGATGGACTGTGACGCAGGATGAGGAATGGCACAGTGAATAATCGTTGATGATAATAAGAGTGATCTGAGCTGCCTGTTTTTTTGTTGTTGATGATAAAGATAACCATTTTATGCTGAAAATTATATTTGCAAGATGAAGCATTGTTGTGCCGTTATCGGATCTTAAATGCTACTGGACAGGTTGATGCTGTCGTGCGAGTGTTTGATGATAATTTTCAACATGAGCACCACTTTGTATGAAGCCACCAGTAGTGGGCCTCACCATTGTAATGTGGAATTTCCACCACAGGTTCAGAACTGGCAATGGAGACACTTTGATGGTCGTCAGTATTCCTGGGATCACGCCGCACCCATCATAGGGCAGTGTCTCCTCCCAGCTGGTGCTAGTCCTTCCCACCCACCCTAATGCTTCGTCTCACGAGTCGGACACATGGCTTAAAATCAGCCGGGTCTGTCCGGGTTGGTAACCTGCATATATTTCTATATATCTGACGCACCACATCCAGTATACGTCTCGTTATGGTTCCGGCTGCTAGTCGCATGCCTACTCCAATCTAGCATAAAATTCTCATCCGCAATGACCGCGGGAACGCTGCCAATGCTTTAGTTGCCAAATCTTTTCACTCTTGCCTGTCCTGCGCAGTTTTTGTCAGGTCTTGGACCAGTCCTTGATACTGCATTTGTCAACCAGTTGATTTTATATTGATTTGAAATATATATATATAGCACCATTCGTACAATTGCACCTCAAAATATTATACAATTTCACAGTTACATCAATGAAGGGGCTAATCCTCTGAATAAGGAACTCTTGAACGATATTAAGTGCAAAAATCAACCAAACTTTAAATCAACAAAACTAAAATCAATGCTTTTACATAAGTCCCCCGTTTCATGTTGCGTGTCCAAACCCATCGCGGGTTCCTCTTCTATCATCGGTAATAATCTGAGGTTCGTGTTCTGCCACCCTTTCTGAGACCTCGGCCAAAACTGATTTGTGCGGTGAGCTGTGTGCGGCATTGTCATCTCGTGACGACGAGAAGTGGTGAGATGGCAACATCCTCACCGGGTATGTAGGAGGCGGTGAGTTCGATTCCGACCCCGACGCCTGTATACTTGGAGTTTGTATGTTCTCTCCGTGGCCGTGTGGATTTATTCCCTACAAATTTATAAACATGCATTTAGAGTATTTGGTTGCTATAAATTTGCACGTGAAAATACACTTCGTTGAACTATCATGTTTTGTTTGTTGTCCTTCCCCCGCACCTCCGATTAGCATGGCTAGCTATATACTGTGTGAAAGAAGTTCAATACACATGCATACAGAATCTGAATCTTTATACTGGAGGAATCTAATTAGCTATGAAGCTCTTTATCACAGATTTCACAGATGTCCATCTTTTTTACAGATGTTCACAGATGTCCATATATTACTGGTTGGAACCTCCTGGTTACACCAGCCCACAGGGGATTATTGTGCCCGTCCGTCGTGCAGGGAGGGGCTGGATGGGGAGGGTGGGGCTGGATGGGGAGGGAGGGGCTGGGTGAGGAGGGGCTGGGTGGGAGGGGTGGGGCTGGGTGGGGAGGGGCTGGTCACCCCGTGGTGCCCTTATAAAACTCAACGTTTAACCTACTCACGCCGGCTTGTGCCCACCCTCAGTCGGGCATATTTGCGGAATACACCACGCCGCCGTTGACCCTGGCCATTGACCGGGCAACCCAACGTTCCTACCAGCTCCCTCCGCAGGAATGTGTTTGTGGCCAGGTCGCTTCTGCAAAAGAGCTATATAGCTCAGCGGGCCTTGCCTGGTGAAATTTAAAGTTGAGTTTTATTTTCCAAGGCATCGCAAATACCAGTATTCTTTCTTCTGTACTCTGTAGTAAGTGTCCACGCTTGGCAACCAACGACCCGGGATATATTCACAGACATTCATCCCTGTTTGGGCACCTGCACCCACTCGCGGATGAGCCAGTGGGCGACCGTCCACTTTGGCGGCACCCAAAAGGGGACGTCGCCCCGGGCCGCCTGGGACGATTCCTCCTGCGACGACACCGCCCAGCCACGCAGCACCTCCGGCGGGACGGGCCGCGAGAACGCGCTGCGTACCTCGTCGCGCGAGAACCAGCGCGCGTCCTCCAGCTCCGTGGTGTCCACAGAGATCTGCAGCGGGGGGGGGGGGGGGGGGGGGGGGGGTGACACGGGACGACGGGAATGCGAAGGAGGTGGGGAGCGGGGGGAGGGACACGGGATGAGCAAAGCTACCGAGTGTCCTGGTTCGGCCGGGGCAGTGTGGGTGGTTTCAGAAAAGGTGGTCACCGATGTGTTCCCTCTGCCAGAGATGGGCACAATGCACTTAAATTAAAAACTACTGGAATAATGTAATGCAGATACAAATGACCAATTAAGTCATGTTATTTGGATACCAATTTTAAATGTATTGATTACATGACATTCGAATACTGCCCCAATCCGGGTACTGTCCCTGTATAAACATTTCTAGCCTCGTGTTTTGGCTCATGATACGAACAAAGGATGTGGAGCTATCCGAGTAGTGGGCGTGGTTGGCATGAGGTTGATGATTAAGAGATGAAGGGAGGGGAGGGGCATTGTTTGGATGTGGTGGCTGGGTGGTGGCAGGGTGGTGGTGGGGTGGGGGGCGCCCATGCGATGACTTGGTGATGGGCACCACGTCATTGCATACACCATCATCCCAGCCAACACCGCCCCAACCCAAATCGTAACAACCATCACCCAACACACACCATCACTCCAACCTGCACCATCATCACCCTACACACACCATCCCAGCCAACACCATCACCGTATTATCAACCCAAACCATCACTCTGCGACCATCACCCTACACACACATCACCCAAATCCCAAATGCACACCATCATCATCCTGGCATGATTAAGAGATGAAGGGGGGGCGCAGTGTTGGGATGTGGCGGGCCGGGGGGGGTGGCCTATACAATGACGTGGTGATGGGCAGAGCTGTGGCGATGGAATGACGGTGCGACCGCCCGCCCGCCGGACCTCCGTGTGGCCCTCCTCGGCCACGGCGTGGCACGCCAGCATCAGCGAGCTGCTGGGGAACGGCCAGTGCTGGGAGAAGACGAAGTTCAGGGAGGACACCGTCACCCCGACCTCCTCGGCCACCTCCCTCCTCACCGCCATGTCCACGTTCTCGCCTGCACAGCGGCGGCACGACACCACGCGGTGGCACGTGAGCCCCTCTCGCGTTGCACCGATAAACGATTTTTGGAGAGTTCGTCGTACAAAGTCACGAATTTTTTCGAGAGAAACAAAGATATAATTGCATATTCATTACGTTTTCATTAAATTTGAATGCAAATATTAAATTGCATCTCGATTTCAAATTAACAAGTTATATAAATTACGCAAAACATTTTACACTCACGGAACGTGTAAAAAAATAGTCTGATAGTGTTGATTAGGGTGATGGTGTACTAGTGCGAAGGTGCTGGCTGGGATGATGGTGTATGGCAGGACGATGACGATGATAGTATTTTAGTGTGATGGTGTTGGCTATGATGATGGTGTTGGCTATGATGATGGTGTTGGCTATGATGATGGTGTATGGCAGGATGATGGTGTTGATTATGGTGATGATAGTATTTTAGTGTGATGGTGTTGGCTATGATGATGGTGTTGGCTATGATGATGGTGTTGGCTATGATGATGGTGTATGGCAGGATGATGGTGTTGATTATGGTGATGATAGTATTTTAGTGTGATGGTGTTGGCTATGATGATGGTGTTGGCTATGATGATGGTGTATGTCAGGATGACGATGACAATGATGATGGTGTGTGTTTTGGTGATGGTATGTGTAGGGTGATGGTGGTGAGTGGGGTGATGATGGTGTATGGCAGGACGATGGTGGTGTGTGTGTATGGGTGATGCTGAAGTCACTCGGAGGATCTGCCGAGAGCCACGCACCGATGTCGCAGAACCCTGCGACGGTGCTGTACATGCCAGGCGGGTGGATGTCCTTGCGGGCCAGGAGACATCGATCGCCATCCACCACCAAAACGATCACTACAGGCGCCATCTGAGGTCAGGACAGGGGTTGGTGGATCATGTAGAGATTTGTGTCACTCCCAGACCCCCTGGGCCAGCAAGGTAATGTACGGTCAAACAACCCCACGACCCCGTGCCCTCGCCCAGCAGTGCATTGACGAAGGGGCGGCTGCAGGAGGAGTGTTCCTCGGATGCAGCCGGTGGCAGTAATCACCCCAATTCACACCGTCACCCACACACACCACCACCATCATCATCATCCATCATCATCCTGGTGTACACCATCATCCCAGCCAACAGCATCATACTAGCACATCATCATCACCCCAATCCACACCATCACCCAAACACACCACCACCGCAATCATCATCAGCATCCATCATCATCCTGGTGTACACCATCATCCCAGCCAACAGCATCATATTAGCACGCCATCATCATCCCAATCAACACCATCGCCCATACACACACCATCAACCAAACACACCACCACCATCATCCATCATCATCCTGGCATACACCGTCATCACAGCCAACAGCATCATACTCGCACGCCACCATCACCCCAATCAACAAAGTCAAAGTTCCCCCGTATAGCCTTATCAGACTGTAGGGGCAAGTGCTGTTAGCGAGCACCTATGAAGGCCGGAACAGTACACAAGGGGGTGGGTGGCCAGCACCACGCCCCACCGCCTTAGTCTCCCCAGTGGCGATGTTTACACACCGCACCAGGTACTCATTTGCGGCTAAGTCGACCTAGGGGAGGCCCGGGACCGCTTCAGCTAATCGTCACTGGTGTTGGCCGTGAGCGGGAATCGAACCCGGGTCGCTGGGTTCATAGCGCAGCGCGCTAACCGCTACACCACCGCTCCCCAAATGCCCCCAATCAACACACCGTCACCCACACGCACAGGTGCAGTGAACGAGCAGCAGCTGCTGCTGCAGGTGCCCACCTGTGGGTACTGCACGTGGCCCGTGTCGGGGCAGGTGCGCTTGCTACCCGACGCGTCCCGCAGGCTGAGCCGGCCCGAGCGCCCGCTGAACCGATGATCCCCGTGCCACCGCAAGAGCGCCTGGCCCTGCAACATCATCCATGGGGCCGTCCATAAATGACGTCACGCGATTTTGGACAATTTTTTACCTCCCCCCCCCCCTCGTCACACGGCGTCACAAAAAGTCAGACCCCCCCTCAAATATGACGTCACAAAGCTCTGATCCCCCCCCATCCCAAAATAAAACATGCTTCAAATCGCTTTAAACTATTGTCATTGTAGTGCGTATTTAATGTGGCGCTGCACTCTGATGTTGCAAGAGAAAACATTATTAAAAAGTATATTTAATTAAGTAGAACGTGTTGTCTATATTTATTTAAAGTTGCGCATTTTGATGTGACGTCACATTTCTCAAACCCCCCCCCTTCGTCACACATCGTCACAAATGTCTGACTCCCCTCCCCCTAGGTGCGTGACGTCATTAATGGACGGCCCCCATCAGCATCATTAATCCATCATCAATCATTACCGTAATCATCCATCATCGTATATATCATCAAACCACGGAGTGTGCTAACCTGTGCCACCACTCCACCCCATGGTGAATTAATGAAGTGCAAATGTTCACATCTAATCTAGCGTAACTGCTTTGAAACACAAACGTTAATTTATGCAACGCAAAATCATTAGCTCTGACCTATGCTCATTTGTTGTGTTTTTCACGAACATTTCTAGACGTGGTAGCTTTCAGTGGTTGCCCGTTAAGAGAGTCCATTTTCAGGCGCACACAACCTGTAATTAGTGTGCCTCCATTAAACTCAGCGTGATGTGCAAACAGTCAATTCGATAAACTCAACAGCAGCTACATTCGTAAGTGGTCCATACAGACAGAGAAGCCCACCTGCATTGAAATGTGCTTAGTTAATTGATGGGAAGCGACCGCTGGCTTGCATGAGCAGGGCTCTGCATTAATCCGAGACACACTGGAGATAATTGCCGAATGGAGGTCGGTCAGGAGCGCGACTTTCACTGCTGTGGGTGTGGTGGAGAACGAGGAGTTTGGGCTCGGCTCTAATCTCCCTTGGACGCCACCCGTTGAATGTACGCACAGACACACCAGGGGAGAGGAGGCAACAACAATCCACCCCAGGTTTTTCAAGTCTCGGTTGACGACGCATGCAGGTGGATTCGTTGAGAGCACTGGATGTGCTGGCAGTGACTTCGTCATCAGCTCTGACTTAGCCACCCATTGACTGGTATCGAGACAAAGATTCCCCCGTGTAGCCTTAACAGACTGTTGGGGCAAGTGCTGATCGCGGCACGGTACACGAGGGGGTGCGTGGCCAGCACCACGCCCGACCGCCTTTGTCTCCCCAGTGTCGATGTTTACACACCGCACCGGGTACTCATATGAGGCTGAGTTACCTCGGGGAGGCCCGGGACCAGTTCAGATATTTTTCACCGGTGTTGGCCATGAGCGGGAATCTAACTCGGGTTGCCAGGTTCGTAGTACAGCACGCCAACCGCTATACTACCGCTCACCACACAGAGAGTACCACAGTCTCACATATGAGACCCTTAGACTCGCATAGAGACCCGATGGGTATCGGGTATGATAATTCATGCCGGTGGTAATTGGAACATGATGATACTGCTGCACCACTGCTGAACTACACCAGACCAATTCTCATGGGAAGCTGCGTGGGCTGCAAGTGTGTATGTACGTTGAACTTCTTTCACACTGTACGTAGCCAACCGTGCTAATCGGAGGAGAATAAACCAAACACAAAGAGCAGTTGTAAGTAAACGAGTTTTCAATCCATCAGCTTGCAGGAGAAGGCACTGATGATGAAGCGATTGCCAGTGCATTCCAGTTCCTTATTGGGTATCTATTTAAGTATGTGGATCCCTTTGAGTCTATGGCTATCTACACGAGCCTGTAGGTCTCAAAGTTTGCGGGTCCCTATGAGAGTCTATGGGCCTCTAGGTAAGTCTATGGGTCTCGATTTCGGATGAGTTCTAATGATGAAGCCACCACCAGCACATTCATATTTTTGAGTGAATCCACCTAAACGCGGTTGTCACCTACGACTGGAAAACCCCGAGATGGACTCGTTGCTGCTTCCTCGACCTGGGGCCACAAAAACAACAATGGTCAACACCTTGGACAACATGTGTGCATCCTTCCCAGACAGAAGGAAGAAAGCGCTGCGCATCTTCATGAAAGATCCATCCAATGCCGCCTCCAGGGCACCCTTGTTCGCGCAAGCCGCTGTGGGGGAGCAGAGATGGGACACTCGGTGAGACACATTGAGGCACGACTACTGCTACTTTTATTTTACCAGCTCAGGCCCACTGAGCTTTATGACTCTTTTTCAGAAAGTGATCTGGCCACATATGATAGTTCAAGGAAGTGACTCATCACGTGGAAATTTATTGTAGCCAAATACTCCAAACGCATATTTTTACATGTGGAGGGAAAAACCGGAGGACCGGGTGAAAAATCCATGCGACCACGGTGAGAGAGACACGCAGACTCCAAATATAGAGCAGGCGTCAGAGTTAGGATCGAACTCACGCCCTCCTGTATACCAGGCGCGAGAGTTAACATCTCGCCACCGTGGCACCGCACGACTGACGGTACAGGATGAGACGAGCTAAAACTTTTTGAGGTGTTTCCCATTAACAGGACGTGGTAACAGGGCCATATTTAACGGGGTGGGGGAAAACAGAACTCCATTCTTCTTATGATATTCAACTTGTATTTTTAAAATTTTATATTTATTTTCATGTGTTTCAAGTGCAATAGCCATTGGTATTGATTATACGGTAGTTTGCATCTTCCCGATGCTCACAGCATAATTTTCATTGTAATAAGTAATATTTAAAAACACTTTTTTTAAAACACGCTTTAATGAAATGTACTGTACTAGTAATGGAAGAACTCCACGACTCCAGGAAGTGGCCCCGAAGCTTGCAATAACGTAAGGGGCTGTGGTGATTTACAGCCAACGTTAGTTGCAGCTAACTGCATTCTTCATAATTGAAGACAAACGAGATGGTAAAACACAATAATTGGTGCATGTTAGTAACTATTGCATCAAAAGGGGGTGGTAGGGGGGGGGGTTAAATCATTACAAGTTTGGTAAGTACCCCCATCCTCATCACCCCTGCTCACAAACCGAGCTTCACGGCTGAATCGGAGGGTGCTGAGAGGAAATCACAGCTGGCACGGGAAGAGAAGCGAGAAATTTCACACCAAACCTCCGCTTATTTAGGCAGCAGTAAACCCTGTTGACTTGTAAACGGGCAGAGCTTGGAATTTTAATGTTCTGGGGCGTCAAACAGCTAACAGAGACGGTGAGCTACCGCCCGACTCCAGCTTGAGCTTGGGGGCATACGGTGACCCTTTAAAACACCAACTTTGTTCTACAAATCTTTCACAAAGTAAAATAATAAAAACATAAATCTAGGACCCCTTGTCAATCCACTGCTGGATGAAGGCATTCACCACAAGATGTGTCAGTCAGGGGGATATTTGACCGTACCTTACCACGCCGGTCAATGTGGATTAGTGAGGGGGGGGGGCCAAGGTGGCCCGGACCGGTTCTGATATTATCACTCGCCACTGATGTTAGCCGTGGCTGGGAATAGAACTCCGGTTGCCGGGTTCATGCAACACTAACCCGATGTGACCAGTGTGGTGAAGTAGGGTCACGGTTTAAGCAAAGCTTTTGCCCCTAGTTTGCATACATTGCAATTCATCGCTTCTCGGCACACACACACAACTCGGTGCATTCATCGTGAGTGCAGGAAGCGAATCGGTGTAATCGTCACGCGCAGAATAACATTTGCCGGACACAGATCTCTACATTTGGGGCTGCGGCGCACGAGTGGTACGTGTGTGTGCATCACAGCCGCGGCACAACCAGCGGACTGCTGCGTCTGTGTTTTCTAAGCACTGCGCTTGGCGGAGTGTGTGATCAGTCTCTAGAATTGACATCCACGCTCACTCAACGAGCCACGCCTGCCACTCTAGATCTGTCGGCTGCCACCAAACGGAACCTCTCATGGATCCCATCGTCTGCAATTTGCTCAGATGTTTCAGTGCTTCCGTCAAGTCTCACCCTGACAAGCTGCCACCGCTCCTAATGACCTCCACGGTATGGACAGGCCCTTGTTCAGAAGCAGATGGACAAAAGGGCTATACATTTTTACTGAGAGCCAGACCACCACCCACCACCACTATTACCTGTGTCCAGAGCGAACCGCGGAGTGAGATCTGGGGTGCAGTCCAGCAGCACAGCATCGTGAAGCCTCTCGGGGGGCTGCCCCCCAACATCCAGCACCCTCAGCACCTCTGTTACGGTCCCAGATGATCAATGGGTGGGGGGGGGGCGGGGGTAGAGTTGGAGTTGGGCACAGGTCACGGGTTAGGGTGAAGCGTTATAGATAGGGGTACATAGTAGCATGAGGGTTTAGAATAGGAATAGGAATCAAAGTAATGTTAGGATAAATGGATGCAGTTCGTGATAGCATGACAGTTAAGATTAGTGTTAGGGATAAGATTAAGTTTAGTGTTTGAGTTTGGGGTAGCGTAAGTGATCGGGTCAGGGGACGGAGTGATAGATATGAAACGGGAAATTGATAGAGTTGAAGGTTATGGATCTGGACAGGGTGAAGGACACAGATAGATGTAGGGACAGGGGTCAGACACACTCCGGACATGTCAATCTGGCGTGCGTGCACACAATGGATATATAAATCGCCAAATGATATTGACAATATTGCGATCGTACACACTGTTGACCCTTTCCCGTTCCAAGACATCTGCAAGTTGCAGGGTGGGTCCTGTTCACATCTGAATTTCGGAACGCACAAGTGGATCGGCGTTAGTTTTATTTAGAGAGGCGTAGTGCCGTTGTTTTTAAAGTCATTGTACTCGCCGCAAAGAACTGTAGCGACACGACCGCTACTCTCTGATAGATGGCCGCAACACTGTGCCACACGCCCTCCCGCATGGCCTTGTGGGAGCTTCGGTACTGATCAAATTATTTTATTTTAGTTTTTCTTCTGCTTTCGCATTTGGTGATGTACACGTACGTCATTAGAACGGAGAAAGGGTTAAGCATGCACCAGTGTACACTGGCACACGACCAGGCGAAAGCGTGCCACCTGCGGCGGGCAGCCAGGTGGCCCTGTAGGCCGAGTCGTGGCGCTGGACAAAGGGGGCGAGGCGGTGGAAGAGGAGGTAGAGACCAGAATCCATCGCCTGCCTGCATTTGGCGTCGTTCTCCTTGAGCTCCTGGACGAGCCTGCGGGCAGGGAAATACACGGGGGGTTGGCACTGAGTGGCGAGACAGGATTGCCAACTTTGGCTGGTGATGTATGAAGAACTTCTTTCGCACCGTACGTAGCCAATCCTGCTAATCGGAGGTGCGGGACACACTGAGAAAGGTGCTGCCGAGGCGCTGAGTTTGAGTATGGGTCTCGGCTAAGGTGGTAAGTGGGGGTGGGTGAGGGGTGGTGGGGGTGGAGACGTTAACTACCTCGCCTGGTATACAGGAGGTCGTAGGTTTGATCCCGACCCTGACGCCTGCTGTATATTTGAAGTCTGCGTGTCTCTCTCGCCTTTATCGCGTGGATTTTTCTCCATGTACCTCTGGGTTTTCCCTCCACGTTTAGAAAGACGCGTTTAGAGTATGTGGCTGCTATAAATTTCCATATGATGAGCCACTTCGTTGAGCTATCATATGTAGCCAGGTCGCTTCTGAAAAAGAGCTCTATATTCTTGGTTCTTTCGGGAAAGTCACGTAGAATGAAAAAAATACAATAAAAAAAAATTCTCACGACGTTTCGATTGCAACACAAGCAATCATCAGGTGTGAAAACCACAGCAAGAACATTTTATAGTTTTATTTTTATTAATTTATTATTTACCTTCTACGTGGCTTTACCGAAAGAAGCAATAATATGATTCCCTGCAGTCACGAAAGCTTTAAATCTATTTGAAGCATGTTTTATTTTCAAAATGCAAATATGGTTTTGGGGGAGGGGGGGGGCAAAGCTTTGTGACGTCATATTCGAGAGGGGGGGGGTCTGACTTTTTGTGACGCCGCGTGACGAGAGAGAGAGGGAGGGGGGTCAAAAAATCCTCCAAAATCGCGTGACGTCACATATGGCCGACCCCTGACTTGGTCACCGACAACATTCTCCCCCGCGAGGGCGCTCACCTGACTTGCCGCACGTGGCCCGCCAGGTGGCGCGTCGGCGCCGTCCCCGCGAGCAGCCGCAGCCGGCGGCGCAGGGAGCCGTCGGCCGCCGCGCGCCTCGAGGTCCCGGGCCCCGTCGCCATCCGCGCCATCCCCAGCAGCAGCAGCGGCGGCGGCGGCGGCAGCGGCAGCAGCACGAGCGCCATCGCCTCCCCCTTCCCCGACTACAACGACGACAACAACAACAACAAGCACGCGAGTCGCGGCGGCGGTGGTGGCAGCCGGAGCGAGAGGTCACCGCCTCCGCACGAGAAGCAGCTGTCCCGGAAGCGTTATCGGACGGGGGGTGGAGTTTGCTGCGAGTGTGCGGATATCAGAACGACCGGTGCGCGCGAGTCGTTCAGGTCACCGCGTGAGTCCTTCAGGTCACCGCGTGAGTCCTTCAGGTCACCGCGTGAGTCGTTGAGGTCACCGCGTGAGTCCTTCAGGTCACCGCGCGAGTCGTTGAGGTCACCGCGTGAGTCCTTCAGGTCACCGCGTGAGTCCTTCAGGTCACCGCGCGAGTCGTTGAGGTCACCGCGTGAGTCCTTCAGGTCACCGCGTGAGTCCTTCAGGTCACCGCGCGAGTCGTTGAGGTCACCGCGTGAGTCCTTCAGGTCACCGCGTGAGTCCTTCAGGTCACCGCGCGAGTCGTTGAGGTCACCGCGTGAGTCCTTCAGGTCACCGCGTGAGTCCTTCAGGTCACCGCGCGAGTCGTTGAGGTCACCGCGTGAGTCCTTCAGGTCACCGCGTGAGTCCTTCAGGTCACCGCGTGAGTCGTTGAGGTCACCGCGTGAGTCCTTCAGGTCACCGCGTGAGTCCTTCAGGTCACCGCGCGAGTCGTTGAGGTCACCGCGTGAGTCCTTCAGGTCACCGCGTGAGTCGTTCAGGTTGAGGTCACCGCGTGAGTCGTTGAGGTCACCGCGTGAGTCCTTCAGGCTGAGGTCACCGTGTGAGTGGTTCAGATTGAGGTCACCGCGTGAGTTTTTCAGGTCACCGCGTGAGTGGTTCAGGTTGAGGTCACCGCGTGAGTGGTTCAGGTTGAGGTCACCGCGTGAGTCGTTGAGGTCACCGCGTGAGTGGTTCAGATTGAGGTCACCGCGTGAGTTGTTCAGGTCACCGCGTGAGTTCAGGTCACCGCGTGAGTGGTTCAGGTTGAGGTCACCGCGTGAGTGGTTCAGGTCACCGCGCGTCAGCTTCGACTGTCAAAAAAGTCGCCGCGACGTTGACGGGAAGCCTCGCCATGTTAAGCTGTTGGGCTCGTCCAAATCGCGTGGTGCACGGGGGGGGGGGGGGGGTTAGAGCGGTGGTGCAGCGGTTAGCGCGCCGCGCTACGAACCCTGCCACCCGAGTTCGATTCCCGCTCACGGCCAACATCGGTGGCGAATATCTGAACTGGTTCTGAGCCTCCCCTAGGTCGACTCAGCCTCAAATGAGTACGTTGTAGCAGTGCGTAAACATCGCCCCCCCCCCCCCTCCTCGTGTGCTGTGCCGACCTTCATAGGTGCACACTTACCCCCAAACATCCAGTTTAGGCTGCACGGGGGGTCTTTGGTGCACATGATGGTCCAGATGTCTTATGATGCCCCCTATTAATTGACCCTTAAAATGTTTGCCCCCTTTGCATAATAATTTCTGTTTTAAATAAACGTGACTTTTAAACAAACTTTTCGAGAATGAAATGGGGGGGGGGGGGGGTCACAAGACATCTGGGCCACCCTGTAGATGGTGGATGACCCAACTTGACCACTGCTCTCAATTGTTGGTGTGGGCGCCACGGTGGGCGAGATGTTAACTCCCTCGCCTGGTATGCAGGAGGTCGTGGATTCGATCCCGACCCTGGCGCCTGTTGTGTATTTGCAGTTTGCGTGTCTCCCCGTGGCCGGGTTTTCCCTCGACTTTCAGAAACGTGCGTTTAAGAGTATTTGGCTACTATAAATGTCCACAAAAGCCATCATTTGTGGCCAGGTCGCTTCTGAAAAAGAGCTACATAGCTTAGTGGGCCTTAGCTAGTAAAATCATTCTTTTTATCGTTACGTAATCTTCTGGCACGGTCACCCCCCTTCATTGTGTGGCTGTGACCCAGCCGTGAGTGAAGTTGCCAGGGCCCCGCAATGTTGAGTTGTTTTGGTGTCGTGATCTGGACGTGGATTCTTCGTTTTCATCCAGAGCGTGGCTTGGCTAGCGTACAACGCGGCTGGATAACCATCGCATGTAGAGTACTGTACAGCAGGCCCTGCACACGTGGCGGAGGTCGCCGGTTCGATCTCTCTGCGCAGCAGCTGAAACGTATGAGATGCGCACGTAAAGTCGGCGGTGTGACTGAGTCAGGCTGAACGATTAATCGATTTCAAATCGAAATCGCAATTTGAAACAATGCGATTAGCAAATCGCAAAGGCAGCGATTTGTTTGCGATTTGAAAAGTCGTATTATTTTCTTTTTGGAATTGTTTTATTACTTTATTATTATAACTTTATTTATTTAACTTAACAATTGTTCTATGTTTGTTCTATTTCAATTAAAACATTTTAATACATGTTGGAAGCAATTCATATATTTTAAGTTCTCATCCTTGCATTAGATTATATAGAGCAGTTCATATTTTGATGGTATCATGTGGTAATGCTCCATCACATGTTTTAAATCTATTACACAGTGAATATTGAACTGAAGCTTAACTTTAAAACATTTAATCGCAAATCAAATCGCAATATCTGTCAGAAAAATCGCAATTCGATATTTTCCCCAAATCGTTCAGCCCTATAAATGAGTAAGCGCCACGGTTTAAAGTTTTAATGTCTCTGTCAGCTAAATAGCGTGGATGACCGTGCCAAACATATTCAGCATCCTGTGACCAAATCAACCGGACTGCGTTCGATCCCGCACGCCAAGCAGGATTGAGTCAGGATAGCTCATGGACTGGGCAGCCCCCGGGCACGGTGAGTTGTGGCAGTCTGCGGGGATACGTGGTGGGCAGCAGAGGGCCTCGTCCTCTGCAGGGTGGTCCAGATGGCATGTGACCCCCAATGAATTGACCCCTACCATTTTTTGCATATTAATTTGTTTGAAATAAACCTTACTTGAAAAAATATGTTTTCGAGAATAAAATGCGGGCCAGAAGACATCTGGACCACCCTGTACTCCTGACCGGCTCGAGTAGCCAAATCATTTTTTTTGTACCCATGCCTGGCGAGACTGAACGTGTGTGAAACACAATGACGGTTGTTGACGTCTTAGAGGATGCACACATTCCAAAGCCTTGTCAAGAAACAACGTAATCTTACACATGTTGGAAGTCATGTTCGCAACAAAGGTGCGTATCAGAGGAGCCTACCTTTTGTATGAAGGTGTTCAAGAGTGCAGCTCACGGCGTCGTGATTATGGTATTGCAGTGATGGTATTATTACACGGGGTGATATTAGTGCAGCTCAAACGCAGAGACAGACGGAGACACTCTGAGACAGACACACGGAAACACTCAACCAGACACGAATAAACTCAACTGGTTGGGCAAATTCTTGTCACGGATTTTGGCAGCGCCACTTGCTTTACTTGTTTTCGTTGAGAGCAGAATGAGCAAGGAATAGGGAATTCTCTCTCGCCTTCAATGCCATGCCTCTTAAGTCACCCACCTGGGCCCACAGTGGGTTGTTTTGGTTCAGTGTGCCGCGAAGATTGAGCCTGCTGAAAAGTGCGTGGCCTTGGAATGAGAAATGTTCAGAGAAACTAAAACTAAACTACTGTGTTAATTTACCAGCTAAGGCCCACTAAGCCATATCACTCTCTTTCAGAAGGGATACAGTTACAAATGTTAGTTCAGCGAAGTGGCTTATCACGTGTAAATTTAAAGCAGCCGAATACTCTAAACGCATGTGTCTAAATGTGGAGAGAAAATCGGTATAAACCACTACCACCACCAACAGCATAACTACCACGCAGGGGCGAGGTGACGGTTCAGGGGGAGTACGTGATAGCTCTGGTTCCAGCCCATTTTGCACATGGGTACGAGTCTGGTACTAATATTTTGTTTTAGAACTAAATAAAAATCATGTTTCACTGTGTTGTGTTATGCGACCCACGAATGGGGTCGCGACCCATAGTTTGGGAAGGATGCTTCCATGCCTTGGCTCCCAGTGTTCACCAACCCGCACCAGCGGGCCAATATCCCCCATGACCCATACAGTGTGCTGAAGCCCTCATCCAGCAGTGGATTGACAAAAGACCTGCAAGGTAAAGGTCCAACCATGCCATTGCTCGCTCTTAAGAGTTAGGCCTCGGCAAGGTAAGGTAATTGTACCCTTTTTACCGGGTAGAAAGGTAAGGGTAAAGGTGTCGACATGTCAAGGGGTAAGGGTAAAGGGTAGGGTAAAAGGTAGGCTCGTTGCTTTTTACCTTTTACCTTACCTGCTAAAGGGTAAAAGGTAGGGTAGAGTGATTGTATTGTGGTAAGGTAAAAGGTAGGGTAAAGGTAGGCTCGTTGTTTTTACACTTTTACCTTACATTGCCGAGGCCTACTTAGAGTCCAGATAATAATTGGCCTACTCTTCCACTGTGGTCAGACGACTTGGAAGAGGTGGGAGTTACCCACACTTTACCCCACCAGGGGCGACTACCCTAGCTCTACGCGACCTGCCAGTCGACTGAAATTTTATTTGGGAGACTGAACGGAGGTTTTCACCACGTACTTTCTAAGAAAACTTGTCTGTTAACTCATCATCAGGCCCTGCCTCGTCCAGTATCTAAACTGCCGGAGCGCATTCCACCACTTCACGTGGATACAAAGTGCACCTAGCCTGGCACAAGCACCAAGGAGAATGTCACCCTTACACCGTAGTTTTGTTGTTTGGAATGGACGCTAAAGGAATTATCTTCCGGTGTTTATGCAACTAAAGTACCACATACGTGAAAAATAAAGTGGTATAACCTCATTGTCTAGGGTTGGTAATAAACAACATAACACTGTCAACTGCCAAACTAATGCCTCAGGTTATGTATGTATGTTGAACTCCTTTCTCACCTTACATAGCCAAAGGTCCGGGGGAAGGACAACAAACTAAACACAAAAAGCAGTTCCAAATATATTAGTTTTCAGTCTAGATTGCAAAGGAAGGAAGAGCATTCCAGACGGTAAAAAGTTGCACTTTTGCAAGAGACTATCCTGGTGGT